GTCTCAGTTTTGCTCATCATGGAGAATAAGAAGAACAACTGTAACGTGTGTTAATTGCTGATGTCATTGTCCCCTGGCAGAGAATTCAGGTGTCATTTGAATTTCAGAAATCCTGGCTGTCTCATCTCGCTGTTCCTGACACCAAAAGCAAATCCTTTCCTCTCCCTTCCCGTCTCACCCCCCCCAAGTCAGCCGTGCCCGTTCCTTTGCCTTTTCTCCGAGTCTGCTGAAATTGATGGGTTTAACTCCTACCTCTTCCCTCTACTGGTGGACTTGAGATTTTTCCTGAGGACATGGATTTCTTGAGGGGAAGGACTGGCATTTGTCTGGTCATCTCTTCACACTTGTTTTTCTGCTCAGCTGATTCTGACCTGCCCGTGCCTCAGGGCCAGCTCTGATGTGGGCCTCTGCTCCATCGCCTCTCGCTGTCCTCTTGGTTTCTTTTAAGCTCTCTGGGATCTTCTGTTCAGCTCTGTCCACTCTGTCTGTGGGCCTCCCCTCCTGGGCTCTTGCTACTATCTTGGTTTCTTTTCCATGGAGGCCCCGTGGGGTCCTGAGCTCTGATCCATGGCTTTCCGCCTCTATCGTCATCTCTCCCTCATCATCCTTAGATTTTGTTATCCTTGCGACTCTATCTTTTGTTAGAAAATCACAATAGTCTTACGCTTTATTTAATTACAAAAATACAGCCCTGTATTTGGCTCAGCGGTTAGAGCATCAGGCTGTGGTCCAGAGAGACCTGGGTTCGGTTCCCAGGTAAGGGCACGTACCTCAACTGCAGTTTTTCCCCGGCCCTGGTTGGGTTGTGTGGGAGGCAGCCACTCAATGTGTCCCTTTCACGTCGCTGTTTCTCTCTCTTTCTCTCTTCCTCTCTTTCCCTCCCACTCTATCTGAACAAAAAAAAAGGAAAAATGTCCTCAGGTAAGGATAAAAAAATAATACACTAAGTCCTCACTTAATGTTGCTGATAGGTTCTGCCACTTTAAGTGAAATGATGTATAATGAAACCAGTTTTACCATAGACCAATTGATATACACAAGAGTTAAGTTTTTTCTTTTTCTTTATTGATTTTTAGAGAGAAAGGAAGGGAGAGGGAGAGAGAAATAGAAACATTGATGAGAGAGAACATCGATTGGCCACCTCCTGCATGCCCCCCAATGGGGATCAGGCCTACAACCTGGCCATGTGTCCTGACCAGGAATCAAACTGGCCACGTCTTGGTGCATGGGTCAATGCCCAACCACTGAGCCACACCAGCCGGGCCACAAGAATTAAGTTTTTATGGCATCTCACTAGTGTTAAAAACATCGAATGAAATGTCATTATTCAAGGACCAATTATATAGGGTCTATTTAAAAATTCAAATCATATCAGAAATTCATAGTCCAGGATGATTCTATAATTACATTTTGGTGATTATTTTAGGGGCTATCTATTATTATATTTTGGTGATTATTTGGGGGTCTAACTCTCTAGATGTGTGTATGTGTGTGTGTTTACAAGTACACATGTGTTATAGAACGTGACATAAATGAACTCATACATTTTGTTCCCTGCTATTTTACTCCACAATTTGTCCTAGACTTTTTCATGTTGGTTAATATAAACAGATAACTTAAAAAAGCTTTCCTAGAACATTTCAAACATACCAGGAGTAGAGAATGTGATGTGAGCCCTGCGTCCCTGACACTGTCCTCTTACCACCTCAGTTCACAGCCATTGTGTTTGGCCATGCGTCCCCCCAGCTGGGTGATTGTGAAGCCGACTTCAAACTTGATGTAATTTCATTAAATAGTATGTGTCTCTCAAAGATAACAACTCTTTACACATATTTAAAACAACAAGCAATAATTCATTGCTATTGCCAGATACCTGGTGTTTAGATTTCCCCATTTGTCTCAAAATTTTTAAGCATCATTTGCATCAGGATATAACATGGCATTTTGTTTCTAAGTTACTCTTTATTTGCTCCTACTGATGGGCATTAGGTCGTTTCCAGCAGTTTGCCTTTATGGTAAGCAGAGCTGTGATACATATGCATGTGGGGTTGGCTCTTAGGATGGCATCTTCTGGGTGGTGTTGCTGGCTCAGAGGCACTGGTTTTTGATCCCCTGTGCCTCCCTTCCCTGTCTTAGGAGTGCTCTGATCTTGTCACACAGATTTAAATGTAGGTATTTGTATTAATTTATTTTGTGCTGTTTTTGGGAGGAGCCTTGATCTTAATCTCCTGTTACAGCATTCCTAGCTTTATTTTTCTACTTTATTCTTTTTTTCAGAGAGAAGGAGAGAGAGAGAGAGAGAGAAAGAAAGAAAGAAAGAAAGAAAGAAAGAAAGAAAGAGAGAAAGAAAGAAAGAGACATCAGTATGAGAGAGAAACATCAATCAATTGCCTCCTGCACACCCCCTACTGGGGATCGAGTCCAAAACCCGGGCATGTGCCCTGACTGTGAATCAAACCAGGACCTCTCAGTCCATGGGATGATGCTCAATTCACTGAACCATACTGGCTGGGTCCACTTTATTCTTTTATCCACTTGGAACCTATTTTTTATGTGATGCACCTTAGCTCTAACTCAGTTTTTGTTTTTTTTTTGTATAGTGCTTCATAGCTAATTGTTTTGTAATGTCACTATGGTGCGCTTTCTTTGGCAAAGCCATGGCAGGTGGCTAACACCGGACACAGCAGGAGTTCAGGAGAGATATCTGAGTGGTCTTCAGCATCTTTACCACTCCTATGTCAGTTCTGTAACAGTTACCCAAATGTAGCAATGTGGAGCTACAATATTGTTACCCTGCAGTTTCTGTGGGTCAGGAGTCTGGCTACAGCTGTGCTGCACTGTTCCCCCCCACCCCCACTCCAGTCCAACCCCCAAAGGTGGTGTACCCTGAGGTCCTGGGTGGAGGGACTGTGTCCGCTCCCTTACCTGATTGGTAGGATTCCATCCCTTGAAGATTGTTGGCTGGTGGTCGCCCTCTGTTCCTGGACGTGTGAGCAGTTCACATGATGAGAGTGAGTGAGCCAGGGAGAGGGAGAGGGAGAGGCAGAGAGAGAGAAAGAAAGAATGATATTGAGGTAGAAGCCAGCAAGACAGAAGTTTCAGTATTGTGAGACCAAGCCTGGCCTTTGCCAATTCAGCCACCAGGTGACCCTCACACCTAAAATGCTGGTTGTGAGGCCCTTCAAGAGGCCAGCCTCTTCTGGGCTGCAGGACCTCTTCAGTGTGGGCTTCAGGGTCCTTGCTGCAGTGGTTTTCGTTCCATGTAAACATCCTGCTCTTACAGGTCTTATAGTCTAGTGGAAAGAGAGGCAACAGAAAATGAATTAGTAACCTGGATAGTAAATTAGAAAGTGCACAGAGGGGACTAGAGTCAGGAGGCAGCAGGAAGCATGGGGGCTGTACCTGGAGGAGGGCAGTGAGTACTGAGGGTGCCGACGGGACATTTGGTTCTCCTGGGTTATGTCCAGCTCTGCTGTGCACCTTCAGATGGGATGGAGACAGAAATATCTGAGGATGCTGTCTGTTCCCTCATGTAGCCTGGAACTGGCGGAGTGTGTCTGGTTTGGGATGATCCTCAGGTCCACAGATAATTTCCGTCACCTTCATAGAGAGCAGAATTAGAAGAAATGTATTGGTGGTCGGGATGAGGTCAAAGGGAGAGGCTTGGATTCAGGTGTTATTTGGGAAAATCTGTTGTGCTCTATCTCTGGGCATTGAAGAGTAGGATGAACCAGTATTAGAACTGGTTTAGATTAGTTGTATGTGGAAGCTAGCTGACCCGTCCTGCTCTGGTATTTTTTGCTATAATACCAGTTAACTGCTTAGTTGTCGAAATTATTCTGCTTTGCTCTAGCAACCTGCCACCTGGCTGACCAAATGCCAGTAGAGTTCATATATTCCCAAGGCTCTCACTCCTTTCAGAAAGGACTTGTAAAATGTTGTTGTTTATCTAAAATCAGGAAACCTAGATAAATTATTTTGGTCATGACCTTTGTCTTTGACAGTTTGAAGTCAGTCATATTACATCAAGAAATTTGAAGGGAGCACAACCACACCATCCCCTTCCCCCTCTCCTTCTGCTAAGGCACATACCTCCTAAGCTCTAAGGGGCCCCACACGACCTACAACCAGGGGAGCAATGGGCAGCGGCAGCTCATCCCAGCCTAACCCCCTAACCTGTCCCCAAGGCCCTCTTTTCTCTGATTTCCCAGAGAGCTAAGGCAACCCAACCCAGGCTCTCCTGTTGCTTCTTCTATGCTAAGCCCTTATTTCATTGTCCCCAGCTTTGATAAACGTTCCCTCATAGTAAAACAACAATAACAACAAGTTTGAACCAAAGCTGCATGCAGCTATTAAGGTTTGCTTCAAAAATATATTCAGTGACTACCTGGTTAATTAAAAGAAGCACTTGTTTTGTTTTGTTTTGTTTTGTTTTGTTTTGTTTTGTTTTGTTTTGTTTTGCTTTGTTAAGGGCTCTGACCAAGGCCGAATCACTGGTTTGGTTTCAAGATAGTCAAAAGAGTTTTCACGTCCACCCGCAGTGCGCCTCTGCCAACTTAAACATTACCATTTCAAATACATCTGGTGACTTAATAAAGACAGTATTTCATTACTCTCTCAAGGGCTAACTAAGTTTTAAAGGCTAAAATCTTCAAATGATCTTTTTATGCTCATCAAATAAGTAACTCATGGGCCAAGGCAGCCCCATGTGTCTCCCTGCACCGAGGACCTGGGCATTTCCTGGCATGGTTTTCTGCAGTTGTTTGCATAACGGGATTGTTTTATCTTTTATTTTTTTACTTCTCATTGAATTTATTGGGGTGACATTGGTTAACAAAATTAATAGGTTTCAGGTGCACAATTCTACAGTACATCATCTGTACACTGTGTTGTGTGATGTTATTTTACACCACCCTCTGACAAGGATGGTGTGGGAACAGCTGTAGCTTTATCTCTGTTAGCTCTGTTGTATTTATTATGACTGTTGTTGTTTTCTGCAGGCCGGTCTAATTGAAGCCAACGGGGAACTAAAGGTCTTCATAGACCAGAACCTTAGTCCTGGAAAAGGTAAGGGTTCCTGCTTTTGAAATGCAAGTTTGCTGATGAGTGTGTTAGGTTTGGTGTATTTATGAATTTCTCTAATGTGAAAGCCCCTTGTCAGCTGTGGAAACCCCACTTCAGGAGCCCTCCAGCCTGGAAGACCCTGGATGGACTGGAGGGAGTGACATTCAGAACTCGCTCAGACACCTGCATGTACACATCACTGGCGGAGTTTAATTTGGTTTATAAGTTGCGTACTGTTTGCAAAAATTTAGGAAATGTAGAAAAGCGTAAAGAAGAAAACAGGTCACTTGTAGTCCGTCCACCTCATGGCCTGGGGCCGGGGGGGTGTGCTCTCCCAGTGTTTGCTCTGTGGCCAACCACACTGAAAGAGATGGAAACAAACTGCAGTCTAAGGGCTCACGGTGCGGGGCACACCTCAGTGGTGACTGAGAGTCCATGTCGGTAAGCTGTGTGCGTATCTTCAGTAATTCTTTGGGAATCAGCATTTCTCAGCACCACTGGAATTTGGGGAGGATCAATTCAAGTCACTCCTTCCCAGGGGTCCCACAGTTTGCAGTTTCCCTCCTAAAAGGGACATGTGATGAACATCTGAGAACGTGTATTTGAGCATGCTGGCTACTTTCTCATGTAAAGTCATGGATGTGAAATTACTGGATCAAAAAGATACACACCTTTAAAACGTTGATGTCTGATGCTTGGCTGATTGTAAAGCCGCGTTGGTGTGGAGCTTTGATATCAAGTTGGAGCAAGCCCGTTTTGGTGCAGCTCGTTATAATACTGCTGAGAGACCTGCAGGAGGGCCTGGTTTGTTGTAAGGGATGGAAGACGTCCACATGTGTGGACCCATCTATCATGTCCACCTTGTCTATGTCAGCTAGGCTGAGGGCCAAGAGGTCTTGTGCAGTGCAAGGGCTTAGGTTCTGTTTAAGGGTTACTTATTTCTGTTTTTTCTAAAGATTGTCCTACATAAAATTAACTTTTTACTGTAAAAATGAGGCACTAATAAGTGACCTCTTGATGTCTGCTATGACCATGGGGGAATTTGAAACTGGTACGGGGCCCTCACTTGGTCTTCCTGCTGTGTCCCAGCCCCTTCACGTTTGTCCATTCATTACTGGTGAGTGCTGGACAGGAATCCAGCCATCTCCTTCCCCATCCATACTTCTCCCCGCTGAAGCCAGATCCCTGTGTGACTGAGCAAGTCTGGCCTGTCGTGGCTGGTGAGCTCACACCCTGTGCCCTCTGTTGCATTGGGACTCACCTTCAGATGCCCCTGGAGGCTCTCTTTGCTCTGCTGGCCACCCGTGCCCTTGGCCTGCACCCTGTCCAGGGCTCGACTGATCTCTCGCTCCAGGCCCCCTGTCCTGATCTCACTGGTTCTGGAATGTCACGGACGTGGCCCTGCTCTTCTTCCCCCTCTTTCCAAGGATGGGAGCCCGCAGAAGGATCCAGTGTTTGCACACTTTTTTATCTTGATAGGTTGTGATGATAGGTTGTGAAGGATGATTTTTGCATTCACCAGTCACTCGAGTGAAAAATTCAGTGTGAGTAATTGGACATTTAAAATTTTCAGAAATTTGAGGCACAACATTTTCTTTCTTTCCTCTTTTTTTAAATTGACTTTTTAGATAGAGGAAGGAAGAGAGACAGAGAAACATTGATGTGAGAGAGAAACATCTCTGATTGGCTGCCTCATGCACGCCCCTTACTGGGGATCGAACTGGGACATCTTAGTCCATGGTACGATTGATGCTCAATCCACTGAGCCACACCAGCTGGGTGAGGCATGACATTTTCTATTAAAGTGATGAAGCAGAAATTATAATGGAAAAAAAAAAAAAAACACCCCATAAACTTTGCTCCCTTGGAAATGATGGAAATCTTTCATTCTGGTTTTATTTTTGAGTTTCTCTTTAAGCTTACTTATGACCACACTGGCTGTCCCTTTTTCCTCTCCCACTGATTTTAATTGAGTCAAGGAATTGAATTGGAAGTTTCGGAAAATAATAGTTTCTTGACTCTACCAAAATATTTTGGTGTTAGCTCCCTGCACAGTTTAAAATACTTTGTGTCCCTCTCGGATGTGGTCTGGCCTCTCTGCAGCCCTGTCATCTTACCCTGTATGTTCTTCAGCTCATCTTTTCAGCCTTGCTTATCCCACTTGCCTTTTCCCTGCTGTTCCCAAGAGTTCTGACATTGGGGACCCCCCCCCCCCCCGCCTCATGTGCAGGTCTCGCGCGTCTTTCTGACGAGGCTCGTTCTGGTTGCCTTGTGGGTGTGGCCTCTGCGGCTTCTCCCTCTGCATCAGCAGTGGTGCTGGAGCCAGTGTAGCCTCCGGGGGTCTGGGCTCCTTGCTTTCTCTGGGCCCCTGTCCCTCCCCGCAGTGTTTCAGTGGTGAGAAGGCACACGGTAGCATCTCCACGGCCCCAGTCTCGTTCTCCTGGTGCCCACGCAGGCACGTGTGGCCATGTCCTGCTCCTTCCAGAAAGTTCCTTTTTAATAAGAGGAGCTGTTGTGGCCGGTGGGGGCTGGGCCATGGAGAGCACAGGACCAGGCTGTGTGGCTGATGCCTTGTGCACTGACAGTCAGGTTTTCAGCAGCAGTACCCTTTGCTTCTGGTTCAGGAGTTTTAAGAGCAGTTTTAAGCAGTGTTGTACTAATTTGAGCTGTTCAGTTTGGGTTATTTATTAGTATTTCATTAGATTGAGGAGCCCCATGAGCAATACACACACTGAAATGTCCCTTGATTCAGTGGTCACTATGGGCACTTCCTGAGGGGCAGTGGGCAAAGGCTTGGGGTCACAGATCCTTCTGCACAGCTCGTGGGGGCGCCCAGGAGAGTGGTCAGCAGCATGTCCTGGAGAGTCGCTCTCTCTGGAGTGACTGTGAAGGAGCAGGAGCTGGTTCTCACTGTGGTGGCGTGGGTAGTAAGGATGGGGTGATTCTGAGGAGGAGACCATGGCCCCGGCCAGGACAGAGGCTGGGGCATCCAGGGGCTGGGACTGGCCTCATTTTCTGTCGTGCACCCTGTACCTGTGGGGCTAGTTCACTGCTGCTCTCAGGCCCACTGACCGGCAATTCAAGACCAGGCCCGCGCCTCGCTGCCCTCAGCGCGAACTGGTGACGCCCTGCGATGAGGCCAGGCCCAGCATGCGATTCCCCCTCATTGGCTCCCAGTGGAGCTCTGGCTTTGACTCGCTTCCTCGCATCTGGGTCCTGCTGTGGGCCCTGCTGCGGGCCCTGCCACTCTTGCCGCTGGGGTTCTCGTCTTCCCTCTGCTCCCCATCCCGGGCTCCCTGCACCACCCTGCTCCTGGCCATTCATGTCACTGCTTTTCTCGCTGCCGTGTTTCCAGACCCCCGTGTCAGCCTGAGTTCTGCAGAGAGGTAGAGCTGCTGGAAAGCAGGACATGGATAGGAAAGGCCTGTTTCAAGGAGTCGGCCTGTGCTCTGGGCCGGCAGGTCTGAAGCCTTCAGGCCAGGCCGGCAGGCTGGAAGCGCGTGGGAGCCGAGGCTGCTGTCTCAGGGCAGAATTCCTTCTTGGGGAAACCTCCAGTTTTGCTCTCAGGGCCCCCAGCTGGCTAGATGGTTTGTCTGGGTGTCCTCCTTTCCGTAAAGCTCACAATTGTCGATGCTTACTTGTCCATACAGAGCTTCCAGAGCACTCCCAAGCTGGCGTTTGATGGGATAACTGGGGATTAGTAAGTGCCTCAGCAAACTGACATAAAATTGACTATGATAGCGTTCGAGACTCAGAAAGCTCTGTTTCTCCCAGAAAAATGAACTGAACCCACAGCCTTTGTATACACTGGCCCTGAAGACAGGAGCCCCGATGCAGAGTTTTAGACAATACAAGCTGTGTGCAGTTTTATTTATTTATTTATTATTTTTTAATCCTCACCTGAGGACATTTTTTCTTTTTTTTGTTTAGATAGAGTAGGAGGGAGAGAGAGGAAGAGAGAGAGAGCGAAACATCGACGTGAAAGGGACACATATAGTGGCTGCCACTCACACAACCCAACCAGGGCCAGGGGCAACTGCAACCAAGGTACGTGCCCTTAGTGGGAACCGAACCCGGGTCTCTCTGGACTGCAGGTTGATGCTCTAACCGCTGAGCCAAACAGGCCAGGTCTGTGTGCAGTTTTAGTTGTGACAGCCATCTGGGTTGCTTCTGATTGTTTACTCATGGCTGTTACACTGTATGAGTCTTTGCACGCACATTTGTTTTTGTGCTTTCGGCAGATACTTAGGAGTGGAAACTAGGTCACATGGCACATGTACAGGGCTGCCTCGCTTTGTATCCAGCTGCTCCGCAGCCTTACTGACGTTTGGTGTCATCGGTGCTTTCAGCTTCACGCGTCCTAGTCAGCTTTTCCTCTCTCCCTTCTTTCCTGTTTCTCACACTGTTGGAAGGAGTCTGTCCGGGGTGCTGTGCTGGTCACTGAAGGCCCTGTCCTTCCCCTGCACCTCAACCTGGATGGGTTCCAGGCCTGGCCAATCTTCTCACCTTCGTTTCTCACGGTTCTTAGTTGGGTCTTTTCTTCCAGCCAAATGGCGATGGGACCCAGGCAGCCTTCCCCCACCAGCCAGGCGCCCACATAACCCTTCCTGATAGCCTGCTCCCTGCCCATCCCCTGCACAGATTTGACTTTGGACCACAGCTCAGATGTGCCCTTTTTTCTGTACTCTGTGTCTGTTTGATCTTCATCATGTTTCCTGCGTTTTCAAGTTGAAAAGTTTTTATTTATTATCCAAATAATATATGCTCACTAACAAAAACCCCAGCTGTACCTGAGAGTACAGTTAAAGATGTCAATGCGTGTTTAAGTGCATACTTATTATTTTGAGAACACTTTTCTACACCTGGTATCCATGCACATAGTGCTTTGAGACCTATGGCAGACCTCTCCATGCTGTGTGTAAACCGTTTATTGCAGCTTGGTCATTCCTGTCGGTTTCTAATGCCACCTTTTGTTACCTGGCACCTTTTTGGTGGAGAGCTGTATGCCTATTGATTGATTACTGATATAAACCTGTCTTTTTCCTGAAGAGCTGTAAGACCTCGTACACTAGGTATGTGTAGGTCACTGTCCTCAGCTCCTGGGGGGCAGGGCCCGTCTCCACACGCTCTTGCTTGACCCCGGAACATGGCTTCCTGCGTCATTGTCCTGGTCTGATTGGGGAGAGGGCACTCTCCTGTGATGCATGCCACTTTCTCTCTGTTCAGTGTTGCCTCTCAGCTTTACAGTTCTGAGCAGGGAAGATGAGAATGTAGCAGTGATGTGTGGCTGAGAGCTAAGTGTTACTTTATAATTCTTGAGATGTGGTAACTGTGCCCTGGCAAATGCACACATACATGTGCACACACACACACACACACACCCATACCCCCATGGTGGGTAAATTCATGCTTCTATAATATTTTTACAATTCTTTTTCTTTTAATGGTTATAGCAATTCAGATCATGTATATTCTTGCCAAGAAAGGAATACTCCATTTTATTATGTTATATTTAAAATATTTTGTCATGGAGTTTCTTTTAAAAAGGCTGTTTAGTACATTTTACAATTGAAACAATATTATTTTTAGTGAACAGATTCCCAGGCTGTGTTATAACTTAACCCCACTTGCAACTGAAATGTTAGTGTCCCCCCACAATAAGTAGGTTGCATGTGGCAATCTTTTTCAAAAAAATGTATTAAACATTATAATTTTTATGGCTAGATTAAACAAAAAGTGAAATACCATTTCATTCTTGAGGTTGACAAAAAGTGACGAGTCTTATTGAGTCAACAGTTGGCAAAAACCTGGGAAAGGAACACCAGCTGCCGGGGTGTGTGTGAGCGGTGTCTGTGTGTGTGGCACGTGCATGTGTTTGTGTGTACATATTTGTGGTTTGTGTAGGGGAGTGTGCGCGTGCACACAGAACAGCCATGTAGAGGTACTGTGGTGAGCCCTGTAACACAGAAAGTCATCTGGGACCCAGGTTCTCTTGGTGCATCTGCATGAGAGAAAACTCCTGGGAGATACCCATACTCAGCAGTGGGAGGCCCACAACATAACCGTACCGTTTTATAGGGACATACTGAGAGCATTTGTATAACATCTAGGTATTAATATTATAATGAAATAGCATGACAACATTGAAGGAAATCAAGTAGATCTCTCTATGGATAAGTCTCAGAAACAGTGTAAACAGAGTTGCAGAATTTATACAGTATCATTTTCTAAGTGTAAAGGTCCATGGAGACAATACCTACATTGTTCTTGGAGTCATGCGTGGAAAGTATGAAAAATGGACTGAATGTGTTTGTTAAGCAGGGATAGTTGCAGGTGGGGCCAGTCTGGGGCTACAAGGTTAGCTCTACTGCTCAAGTCTCTCTAGCAGATACAGTAAAATGATAATAGTAATTATGGTGTATTGAGTAAGACTGTTTGCCAAAACAATTCTTTATACTTGAAGAGTTTCTCAATAAAAACATAAGGGAGAAACCCTGGTGAGAACAACAGATGTTGTTGGCCAGCAGACGGAAGAAAGGGGCCCTGGCCCCAATCCACTGCTGCCTCAAAGCTCTGCTGTTGCCCTGTAACCTCAGAGTACTTGTTTCCCTAGTTGGGACATAAAGTGAGAGTCCAAGATTGGGGCTCTGAGCATGTTAATTTATGGAAAGACAATAACGACAATAACTGTGGTTCTGGGGTAGTTTGTTTTGTGCCGTGTAGTGGGCGGCAGGTGTTGTGGCTGTACCTGCAGGTTTAGCCGTAGAAGGTGACTACCTGGTCCTGTTTGTTGATGTGTTGAGGTCTACAAATTTGACATACAAAATAAAGCTCTAAAGTATGATGTCATAGAACTGCCTGAACTCCTGATGTTGACAGTGACTCTGTAAGTTTCTGAGCTCGAACAAGGTCTGTTTTCTTTCTTTCTTTTTTTAATTCAAATGGCCTTTATTTTTGTATCTGGCATCTCTAGCAAAAGGCCAGATAGATGGAGTTAAACAGAACCCACCCGAGTAAATAGACCCCTGAGAACGCACTGGTTAGAATCTCCCCCTCCCCAAACTGGCCCAGTCTCACCAACAACTGGTCCTAGCTCATCCTTGCAGAGCAACAAGGTCTGTTTCCTTTCTGAAAATTCATTGGACATTAGAGAATTATTTGGAAATGAAAACAACAACTAATGATATCTTTTTTAATGAATCAATTTAGTATTTCCAGAAACTTATTAGTTATTAATCTGTATGTAAATCTAAAAAGTAATATATTTAATTATCTTTATTTTAAATTTCTGTGTAGAATAGAATAATTTTTTTTTGTCTTGAAATATCTTTAACATAGCTAAAACAATATTCAAAATACTTGCTTTTGTTAAGATAGACAGGGTGGGGCAAAAGTAGGTCTACAGTTGTTCACATGGAAAATAATACAATAATTAATAAATAATAATACAAGGATAAGCTGTGTTTTGCATACTCAAGACTGTAAACCTGAACATCCTGTAGATGAGCAGACAGGGGTTTGGGGCAGATTGGTGATAATGCCTGGGGGCGTCTGATCCCTGACCCCAGAGAGGGGCTAATCGCAGTGTCCGTGCAGACCCCCTTAAATTGATCATTAAGCTTAGTAGAGGTGTAGTGACCTGTAGATATAAAATGGTAAAAGTGGGGAAAGACTTTCTATTTAGAAGCATCATTGTCCTGAAATTCACTATTAGCTTTAATTGAGCAAAGAACTAACCTCTCGTTTCCTTGCATTGCAGGAGTCGTGTCCTTAGTAGCTGTTCACCCCTCCACAGTAAACACGCTTGGGAAGCAGCTCTTGCCAAAAACGTTCGGACAGTCCAATGTCAACATTGCACAGCAAGTGGTAAGGGGCCCCGGGTAGGGTGGGCTTGCGAGGTTGGGACAGTGACCCTTAGGTTCCAGCTTGGAGTTTGAAGTTTGAGGTTTGCTCTCGCAGTTTCCTGTGGAGTGCTCACCGTGTGGGGACGGTCACCTTCCTTGAGATTGCAGGAGTGTTGTGCTTAGGCTGCAGGTGGCCTCCCAGTGCTTCTGTGTTCTGTGCCTGGCTGGACCTTCCCCTCTGTGCGGGTGGACGGTGGGACTCAGGCCAGGCCAGGCAGTGTCCCGTCGCTATGTGTTCCCTGCCGGTCCTGGATCTGCCCTGACAGGTTTCTTAGGTGTGACGTGGAGAGCTCAGCTAGAACGTCATGCAGTTGTGTGGGGGCTGGTGCTCCTTGGCTTTGGTACTCCTTCAGGTGGACATTGACCTGCCAGGGAAATGGGGCTGTGTCTCTGTGTGGGTCGTGTGGGGTGCGAGCTGCAGGCTGACGGGTGTGTGCTTGCCCTTGCCAGTTCTCAGGAGTGGCCAGAGGTGGTCCCCTGGGACCCTGTGCTCCCCAACCCCATGTTGCCCCCCACCAACTGGACAGTTCCCACCTCTTCTTACCCTGACTCGATAGGCTGAAGCCATTCCTACTTTGGGGCCACACGCCCCCATGAGGAAAGAAGGGTGTTACCACCCATCCAAGTTTGTTCACGTCCCGGGTCCCAATTTCCAGGTGACCACCCGTGGCAGGTATATAATTGCTCCTCATCACTCAGCCCATCAGTGAAGTTTGGCCATGTTTGCTGAGCAGAATAGCTGTAATTTGTTTTTTCAAACAGTAGTATGTAGACCACATTTGGCACATCATAGTTTTTCAGTAAATGTTTTTTTGATATAAGCTAAATATTCCATTTTATGCTTTAATTTATAACTCATATTTTATAGGTTCTGTGTATTATAGCAGAATTGAGCTTGGGAATACCTCATCAATTTAGGAACTGTTCTATTTTTATTAAGTGTATACACTTGGGAGAAAAATTACAGGGAGATTTTCTGTTGGTGCACCTTAAACTTTGTCACCTGAAAGTTAAATCACTGATTTGAGTCGAGCTGTTTTGGGTGGAGCTAGTAATGCTAATTCATCCTTTGCAAAATCCTAGTACTGTGAATTAAAGCCTACACATCGCAAATGTCTCTTAACAACTTTACCAAAGGATTAAAAATAAGAGGACTGGCTGATTCAGACATGAGAGGTGAGGCTTCATCTTCATGTGAGTGAAAATGTAACCCTGAGCTTGTGAGGTCTTCCCACTTCATGTAATCAGTGGTCTGGGTGTTTGGCTCACAGCCCGGACAGAGGTGTTCCCCACAGGGCAAAATTTCCATGTAAAATAGTGAAAATGAAAAAGCAAAGAGAGAACACCTGCAGGTGTCGTGGCCTCCACTCGTCCGCGAGGGCACAGGCAATGGCCAGTAGGCACAAGGAGCCCTCCTTGCTCGCCCATCCTGTCCTCTAGGAGGGCTCTTCTCACAGGCAGCCATTGCTGAGCACTTGCTGTATGCCTGGCCCTCTGCTTTCTGTTCTCATTCAGAACAGATGATCTAAGGAAGAGACACAGGTTAGGGAGAGGATGATAGAGAGGGTATTGTCTCAGGGCCCAGACTGAGTGTCCAGTGGGGCACTGACCCAGAAGTTAGGTAGCCCTCTTCTGAATGGAGAGCAGCCTGTGGGGCCAGTTAAGTCTCGCTTGTGACCGCCCATGTGGCTCTGCTGGCATCCTAAACCAGCTCTCCTGAGAATGGGACAGCCAGGTCCAGGAACGTGTTCTGGGTAAGTGCCGTGAAGTGACAGGTCTCTGTGTTCCCCAACTGTGGACCATGAGCTTGAGCAGGCGTGCGTTCTCCACTGCGACCTAGTGCCCTGTACGTGGTGGATGCATGCACCTGTTTAACAGGAACAGTTCTCACAGGGCATTCCTCCCCGCTGGGAGATTTGTTCTCTTCTCTGTCCTGTTTAATCTTTCAGAAAATTCACTGATTTGACTTCATGGCTTCTGAATGAGAGTGATCTACAGTTTGAAAAACACTGTGATGAAGCTCTTATCATTGGAAATGTGAATTAAAAGAAAGAAATTCAGTTGAGCTATTTTTCTTTCCATGGTTTGTAGATCATTAACACTGACAGGTGACCTGGGCTTAGGGATAATTTACAAAATGCCGGGTCAGCTGTCCTGGGGCCATGGCAGGTATCCCACTTATCCTGCTAAGAAGGGGACTAGAGGGAGTGTCCAGCTGAAAATAGCCAGGTGGAGGCCACAGCAAGTCCCTAAGGCCACAGTTTGCCCTCTGCCCTCGGGTGAGGCCGCCCTAGCATTCTGATGCCTGATGGTAACATATTCAACAACATCAGGACACGGAAGCAGTTTGCTGTCTAGTAACTGAGAAATAGTATTTCTGAATGATTTCTGGGGTCAGTTTATCAGTACAGATAGTCATACAACTAGATTTTTGAAAAATCAAAATTTTATTTTACTTTTCGCTTTTTATTGGGCTGTAATTGACATACAACATTATATTAGTTTCAGGTGTAGAACATAACAATTCGATATTTGTATACACTGGGAAGTGGTCACCACACTAAGTCTGGTTAACATCTATCACCATACATAGTTACACATTTTTTTTTTCTTGTGATGAGAACTTTTAAGATCTACTCTGTTAGCAACTTCCAGATGAGCAGTACAGTGTTATTAACTGTAGTCACAGTGCTGTGCCTTACCCCATGACCTACTTGCCGTATAACTGGAGGTTCGTACCTTGTGACCCCTTCACTCATTTCCCACATGCCCGCTCCACCTCTGGGCTTGGTTGTTTTGTTTGTTTGTTTATTCTTTTAGATTCCACATATAACTGAGTCATACAGTATTTGTCAGAAAAGTTAGAATTTTACTTGGCTGTACAAGGCACTATCTGTGTGTCACCCAAGTTAATATTTGAATATTAATCGACAGGACCAGCGTTCTGAGTGCTTGTTGTCCAAAGACAAAGCAAGGTTTCCCTTCCTTCGGTGAAGAGATGGGTGTTGGGTGCTCAGACAGCTGATGAGGGGCGCGTCAGTCCTGCACCCCAAGAGATGCGCTTGTGCTACGCTGTGGTGTGGGCAGCGAGACCCCTGCCTTTGCTCCCAGTGCTGATCGCCTTCCTTCCCCTGCCCTGTGCTGTTTGCGGTGCTTGGGTCCCCCGCATCACCACCTTTGGGATGGGCTCCTGCTCAGTCCCAGCTGCTGGGGGCACTAGAGTCTCGCCCTGTGTTCCTTTTCTTCCGAGAGCTGCTTTGTGTGTGTTTTTAGCCTCATTTTAGCGCCACAGGAGGATAGATTTTTATCCTTATCTGTATCATTAAACAGGAAATAAAAGAGGGCGAGAGGAAAATGGAAAAGTCTGAGTCCTCCACCGAGTTCGGGGACTGTGGTTTACACGCCCCACCATTAGACGTGACCCCATCGAGGCTCGCGTGCCCCCAGAGGCACTGTTCTGTTGGGCTTGTGTGTGCTGTCCAGTGTTTCCCGCTGCTGCTGTTTGACTGGAGAAGACGCCTGAGGTTGGCGCAGGGAAATGAGACACGTTCAGAACGGGTGTGGCCATACGTCCAGATTCAAAGGGGCGGCCGTTGGGTTACTCACATTGTCATTGTTCTTTCTGATATTTGTGGTCAATACAATTCAACAGTGGCTGTCGATAATGAGAAATGATAAAATGGCAGCATTGTATGCGGGAGATTGCTGATTGTGTTCTGAATTGTCTTTTTTGACTGTAGGTAATTGGTACGCCTCAGAGACCTGCAGCGCCAAACACTATCGTGGTAGGAAGCCCACACACCCCTAACACTCACTTTGTCTCACAGAACCAGCCTTCAGACCCCTCACCTTGGTCTGCCGGGTGAGCACATTGCCTAGAATTGTACCCCCTAGCTCTCTGTGGCCTTAGAGCACGTCGTCATGCCAGAGGGTTGGAAATGTCCAGCGTGTGCCCGGAAGAGACGTGTAGTCAAGGCTCGCTGTTCCCCGTAAAGGTGGTCAGGCTGCGGGAGAGCCGCCCCCCTGTAGTTTTGGAGTGATGGCTACACTGTCAAGGGCAGGAGAGCTGCCCCCTGTAGTTTTGGGGTGATGGTTATACTGTAAAGGGTGGGAGAGCTGCCCCCCTGTAGTTGGGGTGGTGGCTGCGCTACCCTCTAAGGTGTGGTGAGCACAGTGGTGACCTTGACACTGCGTGTCTGCACTGGGATAGCTCTTAGGGAACAATGTGTCATTGTGACGGGTCTCTCAGCAGCCTCACCCGCTGCAGCTACATGTGACTGCCGTTTCGTGGCTGTGGTCCCGCTGGACGGCCCACCACATGGTCACTGTGGTCCTTTCTCCTACTTAAGCAAACCAGTTTGAAACATGATTTTACTTGAAGGTCAGCTGTGTGACTTTCTTTAAAAACTAACAAAGACAAAGCCATAGAATCACGTCTGTGTTGGTTCTCAAGCAGAAATCATTTCCCTAAATCCATCCAGTGCGAAGCTCAGAGCAGCCCTTTTTTGGCATGGTGACGTAACACGTTCAGACATTTGGGTCACTCCAGATCTGAAGCACATCTGGTCTTGAGCGTTGAGTGGCCACTGCCGCATGGCCGGCACAGCACCGCTTGTCTATTGGCCTACTCAAGTTTTCCCTGAAAAGCCCTAAGTTTGCAGTAAAACTTTCCTAATTCCTGATGTTGATCAACATCATTTTAAGAAGCAGTGTTTACTGTACTGATACCCATCAGATACATACTGGGTCCCGTCCTTTGGGTGTCTGCCCCATTTTTCCTGAGAGTTGAAGATACAGACGTGAGGTCTGGCCTTAAAAGAAAGAAAGGAGACATTGGACACCTATGGATAGTGCTGGGTGTACTCTTCGGAAACGGAGCCAGGTTCCCGGGTGGCCTGTTCACATGAGCTCCAGCACCTGCGGGACGCGGGGCCCTTGTGTAGTTTGTTAGCCCTTTTAGGTAAATGTGTGTCTTAATTCAAGGCTGTCTCTAAGAGTGCTGAGGGTGTTACTTTTCTTTTGTATTTTTGAAGGAAACGCAACAGGAAAGGAGAGAAGAACGGTAAGGGCCTGAGGCACTTTTCCATGAAGGTCTGTGAGAAGGTGCAGAGGAAGGGAACCACATCCTATAACGAGGTGGCCGATGAGCTGGTCGCAGAGTTCAGTGCTGCCGATAATCACATCTTACCAAACGAATCCGTAAGTCTGTGTGGCAGGCATGGGAGAGGCCAGGAGCAGCAGAACACACCAGCACTGCACAGTCCACTCTGTTTTTATTTGAAACAACTTCAAACATACAGAGAAGTTCCGAGAACAGTATAAAGGAATTTTCCTGACCCATTTGTGGGTATGATGCCCCATTACCCCTACATGTTTTTGTGGGTGGGTGTTGGCTCTGCCTGTTTGGCAACCTCCCCCTGCAGAAATGCCAGGCTTGGCTGGTTCAGTGGGTTGTGTTAGGAGGGATGCACCAACTGCCATGGGTTTGTGCTGCACGAGGCAAGTTGATGGTGCACTTCCTTGAGTATGTTCAGGGTCTAACATTGAATGTTGATCTGCGAGCCTTTCTGGATTGTCTGGAAAACTCCCACTTCATCTTCCCAGGCTTATGACCAGAAGAACATAAGACGGCGAGTCTATGATGCCTTAAATGTGCTGATGGCCATGAACATCATCTCCAAGGAGAAGAAGGAAATCAAATGGATCGGTCTGCCCACCAACTCAGCTCAGGAATGTCAGAATTTAGAGGTACACTGCCAACCTTTCATGTTCCGTATGTCCAGGTGGATTCCTTTGCCCCAGAACAGGCGTTTTTGTTTGCAGCATTGCTGCCTGCCTTGGGCCTTGTGCTCTCTGTGCCTGGTCTGGACCAGGTGGACAGGTTTATCTCTGTATCCCAAAGTCTCTGCTCGGGCCCGTCCTTTCCCACCCCACATTGGTGGACTCTCCAGTCTGGGTGGGCTCTGCAGACCTCCACTGTGGGTGGGGAGGTGGTTGACCCTGTGGTGGGCAGTGAACTCTAGTGTAGGTAAGTTCTGAATCCTTACTTGTGGGATTTTTAACAGTTTTAGAAATTGTATTTATTTAGTTGAGAAAGAGACATTAATTTGTTGTTCCACTTATCTATGCATTCATTGGATAATTCTTGTATGTGTGCTGACTGGGGATCAAACCCACACCTTGTGTATTGGGGCGATGCTCTAACTAATTGTGCTACTTAGCCAAGGCCCAGATTTTTAAAATACATTATAGCCATATGCAGAAAGTGAGAGAAGACAAAGGAAGAGTATGCAGATTTGGGATTGGAAAGCTTGCCTGCGTCTGGTCGTTCGTGCCATGTTCTAGATTGATCTGTTTTCCTTAGATCAGGGCAGACATTTTCTGCAAGAACCCTTGGGTGACTCTGTTGATTCGGGTTTTAAACTTTGCTATATTAAACCAGTTGTGATGAGTTGATGACTTCTCGTATTGGTGGTTTATTTTTGAAGGTAGAGAGACAAAGAAGACTTGAAAGAATAAAACAGAAACAGTCTCAACTTCAAGAACTTATTCTACAGGTAATGAAATGCTTATCTTTGGAGGCGAGGTAATTTTACTGTCTTCTACTAATTTAGTTTTTTCTCAACAGCAGTATCTTGCAGTCCATTCTATTCCTACATGGTAAATAAATGAAGTCTGTACTTTGAGATTTTGAATATGAATTTCATAAATATTCACTGGGCTCATCCTGTGCATGTATCATTGACATAAATGCTCACAAACATGGGCCTTGTGGCCAGAGAGTGTGAGTGTGTGCAAGTGTGCATGCCTGTGAGCGCACATGTGTGAGCATGACCATGTGAGCATGTGCATCGCTGTCACAGAGGGTCTGAATGGCAGGAGGGGTGACCCTTCGGAAGGGCTGTGTGACAGTTCTCTGGGGTGTAGGAAGTGCTGTGCGTGCCAGACCCCAGACCAGGGGTGTGAGATGCAGAGTGAGCCTGAGCTGGGTCATGGCAGTTACCGGTCAGGAGTCAGTACCCATGTCAGAGAACAGGTGCCGGTGCACCCATTTCCTGTCCAGTCAGACACGTGGACAGTCAGCTGTGCTGCCATCCCCTAGCCTGCAGAGATGTCTCTGAGCATCAGCCTCAGCCCTATAGGGTCCTGGGAATGCATGTTCTGGGTTAGAAGCAAATACTTGTGCCCTGGCCGGTTTGGCTCAGCGGTTAGAACATCAGCCCGAGGACCAAAGAGTCAAGGGTTCGATTCATATCAAGGGCATGTACCTGGGTTGCAGGTTCAATTCCAGCTCCAGTCAGGGTCATGTGGGAGGCAACCAATCTATGTTATGTCTCTCTCTCTCACATCAATGTGTGTGTCTCTCTCTCCCTCTCCCCCCCCTCCACTCTAAAAATCAATGGAAAAATATCCTCAGGTGAGGATTTAAAAAAAGGAAGAAGCAAAGACTCAAACACATGTGTAAAGGATCTTGGTTGGGGCTGGCTGGTCCCTGGACAGAGGCAGCACAGTGCTGGGGTTGCCTCCTGGGGTGGGGCTTGCCAGCAGAAGCTGTGGTTGGTCAGTAAAAAGTAGGGCAGCTTAGGACAGTTTATTGAGATGCTTGTGGCACAAGGGCAGCAAGGCCATGGACCCTGTGGTCAGGTTGGACGCCACTGGGGAGCCCTGGGAGCGTGTGTCCAGAAACCAGAGGGTCGGGGTATTGGACACTGGGGCAGCAAGGAAGACCCTTGGAAGGAAGTGGGGGTTGGGGTTGGGGGTCTGAGGATGGGACTGGTAGCTAAGGTTAGGAGATCTCAGTACATGGGAAAGGCCAGGCGGGGTCACTGTGGGGCTTGGCATATCCCAGTGTCCACTGGAGCCCAGTCTACCACAGCGGGTGTGTTTCTCACTCAGGCCAGGCACGCTTAGTGTGGGGCCCCATACCCTAGCTTCGGTTACTCCATTGCTCTTAAAGGAGGTGTCTAGGACCCTCTCCCTGTGGGACCAGCTGGGGGGTGCTTTGGCAGGGGGAGAAATGGTCCTAGAGCCCAAGGGAGCAGAGGGGACTTGGGAAATGGAGGAACAAATAAATGGTCACAGCTCTTGCTGGTAGGGGAGGTTGCTGCAGACAGTGGCCCCTCACGACTTCCGAATTCTGCCACTCAGTTGCCCCCTCTAGAATGAATTGTTCTCTTTTTCTGCATCCAGAGCACATTGTAGCCACTTAAAATAAAAATCCAAGTCGCTGCCTCTTTGCCACTAAGCCTTGAGCTCCGGGTCCCAGTGCTGGGCAGCTCAGCAGAAGGCCCGCTGGGGGAGGAGGGAATCTTCCTGGCTGTACATTAGCAGGGAGAAAATTATCTTGAAGGTAAATGTCATTGCAAGGCCTGAGGCCCTGGCTTTCTGGCTGTAGGCCTGAGGACCCATGTCCCCAGAGGAGATACCCTTTGCCAGCAGGCCCACTGAGCATGTCTGCTTTCCCGAGAAGCTGCAGGTCCACAGTTGGACATCTGCCTTCTAAGGCCGTGGCTTGAGCATGGGACAGGCCTGGGACACTCGGACCCCTCCCCTGAGAGGTGTGGGAGGGCCACAGCCTCCAGAATCCATGTGTTTCTCAGGATGCATTTGGTTTTTCAGGACGCGTTTTCTTTGCTGGGCGACTCACCCAGGCCTTCAGCCCCTCAGTTGTTTTCTCTGCTCTCTTAAGGGGGGCCCAGACCCTCTTGCTGTCTTGTGGGGTTCAGGGAAGGTTGTGGAAAATGTCTGGGGAGAAGGTGTTAGGTTTGGTGGTGACTGCTATGAGCAGTGTGTTGATTGCTCATCTTTTTTAGCAAATTGCCTTCAAGAATCTGGTGCAGAGAAACCGCCAGGCAGAGCAGCAGGCCAGCCGGCCACCCCCGCCCAACTCTGTCATCCACCTGCCTTTCATCATCGTGAACACCAGCAAGAAGACTGTCATCGACTGCAGCATTTCTAACGACAAGTAGGTAGTAGGTTCTCCACTGGTCCTGTGGTCTCAGTGATGTGTCTCAAGTCAGAAACGGAGAAGGCCACAGCCGGTGGTGTCAACAGCTGGCTAATTTATTTATATGAGTATCTGTCATTGTTACATACCATCTTTGGGCATAATTAATTTAGAAATTTGCTTCTCCTTGCCTATGCATCTTTTTTTTTTTAATCCTCACCCAAAGATATTTTTCCATTGATTTTTTAGACAGAGTGGGAGGAAAGGAGGGAGGGAAAGAGAGAGAAACATCGATGTGCAAGAGACACATTGACTGGTTGCCTCCCGCACGACCCCAACCACGGCTGGGGTTCGACTGCAACCTAGGTATGTGCCCTTGACTGGAATCGAACCTGTGACTCTTTGGTCCACGGGCTGACGCTCTAACCACTAAGCAAAACTGGCCAGGGCTATGCATCTCTTTTGTAAAAGGAGAATGAGTCGCATCTGCTAGGATTGCTATTAGGACAACTGTTCAGACAGCACAGCCAGTAGACCATGCTCCGTGCTGGTCCTGTGGGGCAGGCAGCCTGAGTCGCGGGGGACCAGCCCGAGAGCCGGGGACGTGCCCGCAGAGCGTGGACAGTGATTCGCCACGTGGCCTGAGTCTCTGGGGTCATTGATTCTGAGTTGATGGATTTTGTAAGACCCTGGATGAAAGGGCACCTGAGGAAGGGCTGGGCCCCTGGACCAAGCATGGCTGTCTCCGCCTTGAAGATGGAGCTCTTCTCACAGGGGCTTTCTCCTCCAGATTCGAGTATCTGTTCAATTTTGACAACACATTTGAAATTCATGACGATATAGAAGTGCTGAAGCGCATGGGGATGGCCTACGGACTGGAATCCGGAAGCTGCTCCGCAGAAGACCTGAAAATGGCAAGAAGTTTGGTGCCGAAAGCACTGGAACCCTATGTGACAGGTGAGTCGGCCCCGCTGACTCTGGTGGCCGAGTGGCTGGAGTGAGGACAGTTGCCCAGGCCCCCAGGCATCTGCCCTCCGCTGCTGAGGATGGCTCAAGGGTGCAGCACCAAGTGCAAGGACAGGCAGGGCGTGGTCGGCAGGACGGCCATCTGGGGCCCCTGCCTGCTGGGACACGTGATCAGTGGAGTTCATAAGTGGCATTTTGTGGGTTTGCCATTCAGCTTATGTGATGATGGTGTTAAGTCATGATTGGACCTTGCAGGTAGGGCTCCAAAACGGAAGAGGTTGAAATTCTTTGAGGAGTCTAATAGGCGTGGCCGTTTCTCCTGAGGTAGTTGATTGGTCACTGCAGCAAAGTAACCAAGAATATTGATATTCTCTGCCAGTATTGACGGCGTTTGTCTGGTGAGCGGTTCCTCAGGTTCTCTGGCTTTCCTTTTGGTGTCTCCTTTGCTGAGAAAGATCTGGCCACGACAGAAGGGGGCTTTGTGGGGAGAAAGCTGCCAGCGTGGCCCCACTCTGCGGTGTGGGTTTTCTCCCAGGAGCCATAGCGTTGGCTGGGACTCAGGCCTGTGAGCTGTCCAGGACCAGTGGGCGTCTGACCTCAGGTCGTCCAGTGCAGCTGGCTCTCCCTGCCCTTCCGACTCCAGCAGCTGGCTGCCAGGACGCCTGGCCAACGTGCCGTGGAGGTCCTTGCCTCGCACACTGGTCTTGGTGCAGACCGCCGCCCCAGGACGGAGCAAGTGTCGGTCTTTCCTCCCTCTCAGTTCCCGTTTTCTGCTTTGTGACGACATTAAGTTCCAGTAGCACAGCTTTGTTGTGATTGGTGACTACACGAAAACTAAGCTGTCCTGAGCCTTCTGCACAGGACAGGCCCAGGGCCATGCACTGGATGAGCAGGGCTGCTTCCTGGAGGAGGCATGGCGGAGAAAGTGCCGGGCAGCTCGGAGGTGCCTAGGCCCCTGGCCCTCTGGTTTCAGCATGAGGGCCTGTTTCCTCTGGGCTCTGCTTTGTGACATGGCTCTGTCTTCTCTCTCTTTCAGAAATGGCTCAGGGATCACTCGGCAGTGTGTTCATCACGTCATCGGTTTCAGCCTCTAACGGCACAAGGCTCTCTGCCAGGTGACTGCAGTCTGGGCCAGGGTGGGTGGGCAGGGTCCACCTGTCACCTGGCAACAGGAAGCTCTCAGCTTTCATATAAACAACCACAGTTCCTCCGCTGTTCAGAATCAGACTCACTGTGTAGACACTGGGATCCCACGCCTGGAAGTGGTTTCAGCCTCTTTCCCCCATCCGAGGACACATCATGCGTCCATAGCTTGTCCCCTGCATGGAAACAAGCTGTCTGATTGGTTTCTTTATTCTAAAGATCGAAAGTAGTACATGGTCTTAATTTTCTTAAAAGTTACACACAGGCCCTCGCTGATGTGGCTCAGTTGGTGTCACCTTGTGTATCGCAAGGTAGCTGGTTTGATTCCAGGTCAGGGTGCACGCCCAGGTCTCAGGCTCCATCCCCAGTAGGGGACGTGTAGGAAGCAGCCAGTCGATGTTTTGCTCTCACATTGATGTTTCTCTCTCCCTCTCTCTTCCTCTCTCTTTAAAAATCAATTACAAAAAAAAAGTCACACACAGTGAAATGGGGGCAGAAACCACCCAACCCCACTGCCGGCCGCTTGAGAGCATTTCTCGGGCCGGAGACAACTGCAACCGAGATATGTGCCCTTAGCAGGAACCGAACCCGGGTCTCTCTGTACCGCAGGCCGACGCTCTAACCACTGAGCCAAACCGGCCAGGGCCATAAGTATTTCTTAATGTTGGAATATCTGGCAGCTGTGGCCTAGGGCAGATTGTTGTGTTGCTGCAGACTTTTTGGGGTTGGTTCCTGATCCATATTGCCAAAGCACAGCAATGCTTGTTACTTAATCGTTGTGTGCCCCAAGCTCCCTCCTTTTCAAGTGTTCAATGGCCACGTCTCCCATGCAGTCTGACCCTTTCGTGTCCTGCTATCTTTAAGCAGATGACTGTGAAGCTTCTCCTGGGGGTGACTCCAAGCCTGCATGTCATTACAGGAGGCTTTCTCAGACTCTAGACAGGATGATCTCTGTCAAAATTTTAAATTCTAGGTTGGCATCCCTTCAGTGCTTGGTGTTTCTTGCTGCTCAACTCAAATACTAAGAAATTGAAATTACTTTTGACCATAACCTGAGCAAGTTATAATTCACAGAAGTGTGGGTTTTCCCCTCCCCCGTGTGGCAGGCATGGGCTGTCCATCACCTGTTGGTGCCCAGGATGATAATTAGCCCTTCGTGTTGGATTGACTTTGTCCTGGGATGCTGGGTGGTAGCTGAACCCAGGGGTCTTTCACTGGGTCCCAGCTCTTAAAACCTCTCACCGTTTTAAGCCTGTGGCACTGTTGACATTTTGGGCCAGACAACTCTTTGTTGTGGGCACTGCCCTGTGCCTTGTGGGCTGTTTGGTAGCACCTTTGGCCTCAGATGCCAGTACCTATCCCCACCCCCTCAGTTGTGACACCGTTTTGTTTTTTATACGTGTTCCTGGTTGAGACTCCTAGGAGCATAAGGCAAACACCCACCCAAGGACCAGTGTGTAGGACAGTGCAGCCCTGCCCAGCAGCTCCACCCACCCCTTTGGGCTCTTGGTCCCTGCCCAGGGCCAGCCCCACTGACTTTCAGCAAATGCTGTTTTATAAAACTGTAGAAAACTATGGGCTCTTGGAGCCTTCCTAGAAGTAGAGGTTGCAGAGAGAGCATCTGTGTGAGACACCTGTCACAGCTCAGCTTCCTGGGCTCTCTGCAGAAACCAGAGGAGCTGACGGGCCTGGGGACGCGGTTTACATATGCATGCACACACATACATGTATATGCACAAATGCATGCACACACCATCATAGGTACAACACACACAAAACACCAATGTACATACATGTATGTGCACACAAATTACACATGCACCTGCACAGAACTCGCTGGGCACGCTGCCACACACTGCTGTCCAGGGAACCTTGCTTTGGAGGGTCCCACCCATGTCATTCTTGGGGCCCCTTTTTCCTAACTGTTTTCTGCCTCCTTCCTGGAGATTAAGGAGTTCATAAATAAAAGGACTAGAAAGAAAGATCTAGTGGTTTTTCAGTTTGTTCACTTTGGGACTTTGTTTCTGATGTGATAATAAAGGCGGGGAGACTGAATACTGGCCTTGCTAATTCCCCCTCGTTTGGCTGTATTCAATAGGACAGAGCTGGAAGAAGATATGTAAAACATGGAAGTAGTAACAGTGTTGGGATTCTGTATGGTAAATGTGTGGAATTTTCTGTTTTTGTGTATAATTGAAACTACCAAACCATCCTGAAACACTGGCCTGTCTCTGGCGTGGCCACAGACGTGCGTCGCTGACCCCTTGTGTCGCTTCTTGTCCTTGCAGTGACTTGACCAATGGTGCGGATGGGATGCTGGCCACGAGCTCCAGCGGGTCTCAGTACAGCGGGTCCAGGGTGGAGACTCCCGTGTCCTACGTTGGGGAGGATGACGACGAGGACGAGGAGTACGAGAACGACGAGGAAGACTGATGTCTTCTCTCTGGGCCCCGCTCCCCTCAAGTTCAGCTTTAGGAAAACATGTTTAGGGAAGAGAAACTTTTTTAACGTGGGCTTTTCTGTTTCTGTTTGGCCTCCTCCCAAGAAGACATTGTAAGCTATTGAACTGGATGTGCACCTCCGATAAGCAAGCGAGGGTGGCTCTCTGCAGGGTCTTGGACGGGCTGCGGTGTGTGTGGATCCCAGAGTGCTGGGCAGGGCTTGTCTTCACTGTAGGGTTATGTGTTTTCATTTTCTGTTCTTTTTAAATTCAGAGTTCCTTTTTGCCCCTTAACAATTCTTGCTGAATTTGCTGAAGAAGTTGTACTCCATCTACATCAACAAATATATCGTCATCCTGCCGAGGCCATTTATGCGCAGCGTGTTGTGAAGTGTGCCACCCGCCGGCAGGGTGTGAGGCTCCAGGACGAGTTTCAGTTTGTGAAATTCCGTGTCGTCCACAAAAACCAAGCAAATGGCAGAGCTCTGCTTTTTGGCACTGAGCACCATAAATCTCATTGACTTTATTTTCCCTTAAATTATATGGACTGTGTGATTCCATTAAGTTTATCTTTTTTCTTTCTTTCTCTTTTTTCTTTTTTGGTCTATGTTGCAGCAAACATATTGCAAAGTTCTTCTTCTGTGTTTGTTTCTGTTTGTTTGAGAATTTTACTGCCATGCTGGTGCAGCTATGAAAACTGTCTGGAAAGCTTGGAATGGTTTATTGCTTATGGTAAAATTTGCCTGATTTCTTACAGGCAGCATTTGGAGACTTTTTATTATATAGTTGTTTACATACTTATAAGTCTATCATTTAAAGACATGTACGGAAACAAATGTTGTATTTGTTTCGTAAGCATCTTCCTGTAATCTATTATAAAGTTGAAATTAAATATAGAGAATGTTTTAACAGTTTTTTAACTCAAAATTTGTCAATCATTTTTAATAGTTCTTTTTTTATAAAGAGAAAAAGGAATTTCAGGACAGGCAGTAGCTTCTTTTAAAAATTTATTCACAAAGAACCATTGACTGCACCGTTGCTATTAGCTGCCTGTCCTAAAACAATAGTCTTTTTATTGAAACACAAATAAACTTTTCTGTAATATTTTATGGAATATAAAGAGACTTTAATTGTTTGACTTGTTTGGCACTGTTAGTTTTTATTAATAAAACGCGCATGGGCATTTTAAACAAGCTCTGTGTTTTTCTAATTCAGGAGCACTGTCTAGAAGATGTTTTATCCTTAGTCTTTTCGCTGGAGTGAGGAGAGGTGGCCAGACCCAGCTGTGGGGGCTGGGACCCCACCACGGGCCCTCCGCTGGTCCTGCTGCTTCCCGAGGCCTGGCGGGGCCGCGGACGCACGTCACAGTGGTACAGACCGAAGCGACACCTCCTCTCTTGTGGCCAGTGGTGGGGAGTTTATTTCCTGCCTTTCTCCTGAATCCTCAAAGTTGAGACGGATTTTGTGGGTTTGACTTTCAGAAAAAGAAGATTGTAAGGTAAGAAAGGAGATTGGGCCTCTGACCTCCACCATTGTCATGGCGTATCTGAGGTGACCTGACCCTGACCCACGACATGACGTTTCCGAGGTGTCTCAGCAAGCGTTTACCGATCGTGTGCGCAGTGAAGAACACTTGCTGGTGTCCTACGTAGCAGAGACGCCCAGCACAGAGTGACCTGGTCGGCCTTGCAGGGTACTCCAGGGTTTGGATTCTCCTCAAACAGTGTGTAATTGGGTTTCACTGACAGGTTTCCCTGTCCAGTAGCTCTGCAGGTGGCAACGTTGTGTCTGGTACTCGTGGGAAGAGGGCACCAGGCCTCAAGCTACGGTTTGGGTGAGAAGTGGGCGACCCTTGTTGAGAGCAGGGTCGTTCACGCAGAATGTTCTCATTGCAGTTTTCTCGGAAGGCCTCGAGTTGCAGGCTTCACATGAGTTCTAGGTGTTGGAGGAGGGGCTTGGTGAGCGGATGGTCAGTTACTGTTTGTAATGACCTCCAGCATGTAGGCCTGTCACACTGGGGACAGCCTAGCGTCTCACCTACGTGCGCCTGGGACTGGCTGCCCTCCGTGGTGGCCCCTCTCCACCAGTATTCTGTGATTTCCCTGACTTGCAGTGGAAACCTTAAAAAGGAGCATTTTAAAGAAAGAGGTGTTTGACTTTCTTTGGTTGATTTCCCCCCACCCCCTTGTCAGGAAAGACATGACTTTTTTTTTTTTTTATGTAGAGTAAGAGTGACTTTAATATATTTATTTGTACAATTTAGGAATTGTAAATTCTTTAAAGCAAGAATCCAGAATGTACATTATCATGTCATGTTTCATATCAATGCATTAATCGTCTTTATCTTAACATAGGTAGTAGTTCATTAATATATAGAAAAAATAAGTTATAGTAAGAAAAGTGAAGAAAGATGAGTCATTTAGGGTCTTGTTAGTTGGATAGCTTCTGTCTTAGGGTTACTGTGTCAACCCAACATTTTATCACAGCTACAAATTCTATCTGTAAAACAGTAAAGACTTAAGAAATAGTTGATTCTAAGGCTCAGTGCTCGCCGCTCCGGTGCCTGTGTGGTCACCGCGCTGACTTGGTGTTGCACTTCGGGAGGTTCGAGAGCTGGCTCGGAGCAGAGCTGGCCGGCAGCTCCTCGGAGGGTGGAGGTCTGCGCGTCACCGTGCAGCTTAGGGCCAGCCGCCATGGTCCTTTACTTCTGAATTTTAAGCTTGAATTCCACTTTCCCTTCAAAGGGGTCATGGGGGTTGTCGTAGGTCACATGTTCCGCCAGGATCTTGCACACAATGTCAACTTCCGTGTTCCTGGGGACGTTGAGGAGCTTCGCGGCCACTAACGGGTTGCTGTAGTGGGGCTACCATGGAAGTGCGGAAAGAGATGGTCAGGAACCTCGTGCTGTGTGTCAGGACGTAGGTGGTACAAAGGCAATTCTTTTTTTTTTTTTTTTTTATCCTCACCCGAGGACATTTTCCCATTTTTTGTACAGACAGAGTGGGAGGGAGAGAGAGGAAGAGAGAGAGAGAGAAACATCGATGTGAAAGGGACACATCGAGTGGCTGCCACCCGCACGACCAACCAGGGCCGGGGACAAACTGCAACCGAGGTACATGCCCTTAGCGGGAACCGAACCCGGGTCTCTCCGGACCGCAGGCGGGCGCTCTAACCGCTGAGCCAAACCGGCCAGGGCCAAAGGCAATTCTTAACGTGCTCTCTCTGACCGCTCCCCTGGGCTCTGCTGCGTGCCCTGGAATCCCCGGGGAAATGTCCACCCACTTACAACTTGGTCTGGACGGGACAGACTATACCAATGACAAATTCAACTTCCAATTATACTTGATGAAAATTAATACAAAAATATAACAGGAAAAAGCAAGAGACTTAGAGGAAAGGCTTTAAAATGGACATGCAGTTGTCTAAAAGGATTTGGGAAGCTGTCAAAAACGGAAACAATTAGATTTAATATTTATATTTTGCATGAGAACACTGTGTTTTCAGGTAGTTAGCAGAATGTTGGTTTGGGAAATAGCCAGAGCATTAAATGATCAGGATGGGCTAAGTAATGCCTTGTTTCATTTTTTAAAAAATATATATTGCTTTTTTAGAGAGAGAGGAAGGGAGAGAGAGATAGAAACATTGATGTGAGAAACACTGATGGGCTGCCTCCTGCATGCCCCCTACGGGGGATCGAGCCTGGAACCCGGGCATGTGCCCTGACTCAGAATCAAGCTGGGACCTCTCAGTCTATGAGGTGATGCTCAATCCACTGAGCCACATCGGCCGTGCTTGTTTCGTTTTTATAGGCAAAATAATTTTGGTGTTCCTTATGCTAATCATTGCCAAATTTGAGATGATTCAGTAGCTGTTGTCAGGTGAAAAGCGAAACACCTACCTGTGCTTTCTTCCCGTAGTAAGGGAAATAGTGTAGACTGAAGGTGCCGTTGGGCGGGTAGTACTCCACCTGCAGGGGCTGGACATCCTTGTGCTGGTCCTGGGGGAGGAGAGGCCACTGCCTGAGTAAGGCAGGATCTGGGTGCATGGGTGTGTGTGTCTGCATGTCTCTGCGTGCTATCTGTATGTGTGTGTGCATGTGCATCTCTGTCCGTGCATGTCCATGGCATGTGCATGTTGTGTGCATGTGTGTGGGTGCACTATGTAGGTGACTGCATAAACACGCCACTGTGTAAATAGCATAAACTGGGTGTAATCTTTATAATCAGTACTGGATTCCCATTGGGGGTGTAATTTGTTAGTTGCAAAACCCCTGGTGACTTATCAAATTTGTATTTTTACCATTTTAAGTCCTTGTAGGATAGCAAAGGTGCATAGAGCCCAGAATGCTCACTTATCTGCACAGGGGATGGAAGCCATGAGGCTGTTTGGGCTGGTTGCCCGCACTGGCTCAACATTAGCGTGGTTTTCTGGGGTCAGGGTCTGCTTTCAAAGTCAGCGGCTTGAGCCTCCCAAAGGACAGATGAAGGCAACTTTGGTGTCTGTTAAAATCGCAAGTCAGCCTACACTGACTGGTGTGGTAGAAATAACTGAAAAAGGAAAAACAAAACAACAACCCTGCGCCCCATGGAGAGGTCACGGGCTTTGAGGGGTGTGTTTCTGTGGAATCGCCTTTGCCTGACACCACAGCGGTGAAAACAAGCTTTGGGAAACATTCCGTGCAGACAAGCTCAGTTCGTTCTCATGTTGTACTGAAAAACCTGGAATAAATTAATGCCAATTCTTAGCAGCCCATCTCCATCCACTGTTAGACAACTATCGCTGTTGGTAATCTGGCGTGTTTTCATAAATAAGCAAATAAGCAGGACAAAACAATAGTAGAAAGGCCTTGGTGTCTCCAAATAGCCACTGGACATTTTGAAATGTGTTAGTATAATATACTGTCCCAGAAGCTTTCTGAAGTGAAAACAGTAAGATTTTCTCTTCCTACGTTTTCTCCCCTGTAACAAAACCGTTCTAGGTAGTGGTTCAGGCGACGGGTGTATCTGGTTTATCAGGCCGAGAGCTGAGACGTCCTCAGGGAGAACCAGGTAAATGATTCCCGCAGGTGTCCTAGCAGTGGCAGGGTTCCGAGGGTGGTCGCACTCACCAGGAAGGCGCAGTCCACCCTGGGGGCTGTCTTGTTGCTGGGGAGAAACCTGACGATCTGGAAGGGAAAGGCGTCTGTTGGCCTCGTGCTCGTCTGAGCGCAGAGGGGCCTTTCCCAGCTGGGGTTTCCACAGGGCACTGGGAAGCGTCGGGGCGGTGAGTCCTTCCTGTCCTAATAACCCCCAGCCGGTATTGCCAGGACGGAAGCCCTGCCCCAGGGCTGTGGCCTTGGCCGCAGGCAGGTGGAGACCTGGGCAGGAGGGTCTGAGCTGAGGCTGCACTTCCAGGCCCCCATGCTGCCCTGAATTAGGGCACACACAGCACCTGCCTCTCTGCAGCTCTCTCCACGCAGCCTTCTGCAGCCCACTGTGCTCCCCATCCATGCATTTCTCAGCCTGCTGAAGTCTGTCCCTTGTGTGCCCACTTGTGCCCTGGGCCTGGGATAGCACCTGCGTCCCCCCGCACCTGCCCGGTGTGCGCAGCCCTCCTGTTCTGCATGAGTGTGAGCTGCCACCACACCCGCTGGCAGGTCCAACGAGACCCCGGCTGGGACCCGGGGCACGTGCAGTGCACAGTGGGTGGCTTCCTCTAGGCCTCAGGAAGGAAAATAAATAGTGCCCACAGAGGCCCAGAGCTCCCCCGGGCCTCAGCCAGATCGCACCGTCCTCGGGGCTCCTCTGCACACCCCTGGTCTAGAAGGACCGTGCCCTCCAGTCGTGCGCTTCGTGGGCTCTGTACTCGTGGTCTGCCTCCCTCAGCACCTGGCCCAGGCTGGAACCCTCTGCTCTGGACGGTCCCCAGGTGCCCTCCCAGCGCCTGTCCACGGCCCGGCTTCCTTCCAGGTCCTGTGCACATGTGCTGCCCCGGCATCCTGAACAGCCGAGCTCTGCTGCTTAGTGTGCGGACACCCCTGAGCGTCGCGTAGATGCTGCGTCTGAACGGGCGGCTCTGGTCTGTGTGTGAGGGAGGTCACCCGCTTCGGAGCAACGCAGTGGTGGGGGTTCCGTGGGGGCAGAGCGGGAACGGGGCAGCGGGCAAGTCCGACCTGCTGCCTCTGGAACCCCGGACAGGAGGGGGCATGTGGCCATGGGAGGGCTCAACACCCTGGCCCTCCACACCCCAGCAGTCTCCAAAGGCGCCTCGTACTGGACCTCTGGCCTCCAATATACTCACCCCCTTGTACTCACCCTGTTCATTTTAATGATAAAACACGGCTTTCCTTCCTCAAAGCCGAAGTTGGGGTCCGCCAGGCCCGAGCAGTTTTGCAGCATGTCCGTCGTGAACTTGCAGGAGAACTTGGTGTGGTTAGGGGCCCCGAAGCTTTCCTGGGTGAACACCTTCTCGGAAGTGCAGTTTATGTTGTCCTCCTGGGCTGCTGGCGCGTAGCCTGCCGGCACAGACACGCCCGTGGGCCCCGTCCTCCAGCTGCAGCCACCCGGGCTGTGGGAGGGCGGCGGAGCCCACGCCCCTCCGTGACGGTTCTTGGAAGAGGGACAGCAAAGGCTGTGGAAGTGTTTTCAGCCTCACCTGCCAGGAAGTCGTGGAGGGTGTGCACTAGGTCTGTCCAGGTCCTGTTATCAGAGACATTGTAGGCAATGTCCAGGCCTTTCTCCCCATAGACATCGGGCCTCAAGGTCACCCCTGGGAAGAGAGCATGACACTGACCAGTTTCCCCACGTGTTCGGCACACCCGAGCTGCGCGCCGTGGAGTCGCGGGGCCACGAGCAGAGCGGCCCGGGCTGGTGGAGGCCGGGCCCGGGTGCGGCGGGACCGCCTGGGCCCAGGTCCCCCAGCGCCGCTGGCGAGGAGGCTGCCACACTCACGGCAGGTGACAACTCCCCAGGGTCTGAACAAGTCCCCACTGGTTCTGGTGAAGCACACATGCACTCGAACAACATACTGACCGAAAAAACAGAAAGAATGTACAAGCGCAGGAAGTGGAAGTGACGGCCCTGTCCCCCCGTCTCGAGTCCGGGTGCGTCCTCGGGACACTTCCTCGTCTCTGAATACGGAGGGAGCGTGTTCCCACACTCCACTCCTCCGTTCGCTGCCCAACACCAGTGTCCTCATCTTTCCCCGGCGTTTCCTACGGACTCGCCTCTACTTCCACGCAGACCTCACCGTGTTCCTCGTGTGAGTAAGGCACACCGGTGTGAGTAAGGCACACCGCGTACGCAGCCAGCTCCCTGCTGCATGCGGGGGCTGTTCAGATAAGTAAGCTGGGGGTTGTTTGTTGTTCCATGGCTGTTGTGAAGGAAACAGCTGTCTGTGGTTTAAAATAAAAACCTTTGGAAAGGTCTAAGAGAAAAGTCTCCACACCCTCCTTCAACTGTTTGCTCTGAGCGTGTGCTTGGATCTCGCATAACTTGTCCGTCAGCTTCTGATGGCAGCTGTTGAACACAGCCCGCCTGCCTCCCTCCTCAGGGCTTGGGGCAAGTTACATTACAGTTATGTTCTCGGTTTGTAATGCCTTACATTCTGTTCTGAACTTACAAGGAAGTCCTCCGTGCTTTTTTTTTTTTTTTTTCTGTTGCTTGATTCTAAAAATGGACACCCAGTAAAGCACTTTGGTGTTTTTCCTTATGGACAGGGTCACTGATGGTCCCGGCAGAACGGCTGGGTCTGCAAAGCTCGACCTCTGGAGAATATCTGCGGCAGCTTCTCTTAAAAAGTGTTTGGATTTTCTTTTCCTGTGTGCTGCTGTTGGATGTTTCTGGGGTTATCACCTTCTCAGAAAGCACCGAGGATGCATGGGTGGTAGACACTGAGTAACTGCTGGAAAAGGCTTTTCCTGCCTTCATTTCTTCCTCTCCTCACTGCCTCCCCCCTTTCCTGTATGTCTTCTCTTCTCTCTTTCTTTGTTTTTCTGTAGTGACCTTTGGCTAATGGGCTGGGCGTGGAAGTCATGGTCCACATCGCCGTCGCCAGGACTGGAGGTGATGCCTCACCGTCTCGGGCCCCAGCCTTGCCGCGAATGACTCACTTGGTGCCGACTCGGGAGCAGAGCAGAGGCTCAGCGGTGTCGGAGCCGCCTCCGTGCAGGACAGACCCACCGCACTTGGATGGGGAAACCCGGTGTTCTGACTTGAATTTGCTATTATGGAAGTAATGCCTCAGTACTGACAGATATGAAGTGGAAAACAAAAGCTCATCCCCCCTACACCCCTCATTCCTAATCTCGCTAGGAACGGTTTTCTGTGCACCCTCCCAGAAACGTCTTCTGTGTGTATGTAGTCACAGAGCGAGGGGCATGAAGACTCCATCACAAAAACCTCTGTTGCAATAATTCCAGCCAAAGTCGGACTTGATGCTCTCCCTAGAGCATCATCTTCCTCATCCAAAGAAGCTGAGGGGCCATCCACGCCCGGGTGTACCCCTCAAAGCCCTGTGGCTGCTGGTGGGAGGAGCAGAGAGGCCCCTCTAGGCCTGCTGGCTGCCCCAGGGGCTTCGTTCCCGGAGGGTTTATGCTCCAACTGAGCAGCTCGGGGACTGAATATCGCCCCGACTCGAGTGGGGTCCTGGTGTCCAGGCTCGAGCGTCACCCCCGTTACCTGGTGACTTGAGCTGGTCCTGGTAGTCAGGCGTGTAGGGGTCGAGCGTACACATCAGCGAGTAGATGCACAGGGCGAAGAGTCCGGTCATCACCACGTAGAAGGCCACGTAGTAGAGGCTGATCCACACTGCGGGGAGAGGCCGGTCAGATGCCGCAGACACTTCTTCACCGTGGAAGGACACCCGGGAAACCCACCATTTCAGCCATCTTAGGGGGAAAAACTTGGTGGTGTTTAGGACATTCACACACAACCTTGTGCCGCCACCGCTAGTTCCAGAACATGCTCATTGCGCCAAAGAAATCCCAGACCCCTTGACTTCAGTCTTTCTCAAAATTGTAAATGTTAGGAACGTAGCTATAACCTGCTGTTTCAAATCTAAGCCTGAAACTTTGGGACCAAGCCTCAGATGTCCCCACCTGTGGGTGCCTGGTGCCAAGGGGCATGAGAGCTGAAACTGGCCTGTGGGGTCACATGGTGAGAGGTAAGGCCTGGCGGGAGCTGGGGCAGGGCGAGGTCCTGGGAGCCTCGCTCAGCCAGCCCCAGGCTCTGGCAGGTGGTCCTCGGCCTCTCCTCAGAGCCGCCCCCCCTACCCTCCCTGCTGGGCACGCACCCCACCGGGACAGGGTCCGGCCCAGCATCTGCCCCGTGTCAGGGTTCCAGCAGTAGCGCTGGAACTCCTCCATCCGCTGGCTGCACGACTTCTTCTCCTGCAGCGCTGCCATGGCCCTGCCCTGGAGGTCCGACTGAGAGGAGAAATCCTCCCCTGGCTTTTATAGTCTCCTTCAGAGGTCGAAGGGGCCGTGGAGCGCGTCCGGGAAAGCACGGCGGCGTTATCAGACCGCGGCTGTCCAAACACCGGTGGCTCCGTGAGTTCTGCAGGTTCCCTGCTATCAGGTGCCCTCCACCTGCTCCCTGGGCAAACCGGGGCCGGCTCACCTCTGCTCACCACCCCCTCCTTTCGGGACGCCCTTGGCCCATAACTTTGTTAGGACGCCGACTAAGGAGCAGTGCCTTCTTTCCCGAGCAGCCGTTCGCTCAGCTCTGCCGAGTTCTCGCAGTTCCTCCAGGAGGAAAGACGGGAGGTCAGCGCAAGGACAGCCTGGCCCAGCCGCTGCCGGCTGCTCACACTCCCTGGTCCGAGACGCGGGGCAATGGGTGACCGGTGTCCTGCTATTGCAGCTGCTGGGGGTCTACGAGCGGCTCAGGCGCTGTCATTCCCGGTGTTGCTCACTCACGGGCGGGAATACACCTGACGTGGTGGAAACAGGGCCAGTGTGTGAAAGGGCTGAAGTTCTGTTCCAGAGGAGAGGGTCCCAGAATCCGACTCCCATCGCTCCCGATGCCCCGTGTCAGCGATGAGGAGATGTCCCCGGAGATCTGCTGATGGCGGGGACTGGGACGCATTAGGACTTTTTGTGTTTATGGGGGAATTCACAGCCACACAATCTAGAGGTATTTTCAAAACCAAGTGGACACCACCCCACAGGCTTCTGGTAGGAAGGCAGAGCCTGCTCCAGTGGGCCCTGGAGTTCCCAATGGGCAGGCTTTTGGCTGCAGGACCACAGCAATGTCCAGGCGGAAGACACTAGGCCTGGTGGCGTATTGGAGTCACCTTGAAAACTCCTGACACTTGTCTCACCTCTAGGCTTCTGTGTGAGCCAAGCAGCCAGGCGACCCAAGCTTCCAGAGGGCTACGAGCCCCCCAGATTAATCTTGATGTGTGACTGGAACCACAGGCTCAGAGGCCTGGGGGTAGAGACATAGCTGGGCCGTGACAGCTGCTTATTGGGGTGTCGTCTCTGCAGTTAGGTTGAAAGGACAGCGACAGGCAGAGGCCTGTCTGCAGATATTGCCATCAAAAGCCAATGAAAATAATGGGTATTGTACACAAAAACCTGGGATTTCATCACCGTCACATAAACTTTCCCTGTAAGGGACCCTATAGCCAAATTTGAAGACTTCTTTCAGAAGAAGAGTGATGAAAACCCTGTAGCCATTATTCTGCCCACGTTCTTTACGATGATTTAGAGTTTAACAGCAGAACGAGCACCCTGAAATTCAGAGGGAATTGCACTGTTTTAGCTAGGTCTCCTACTTTTTTAATGGACCTGTACTATGTATTTTCCTTAACACTGTTCCCATTCACAACTTTGGAACTTTAGGGCAATAGAAACACAGAGTATGGTGCCAGGTTGCATGCTAATTGTCCACACCTGTGAGTCTGGGACCCTGGGCGCTGGGCTTTGAAATAAGTGTAGCCACTGTTGTCGCTGGAGTAAATGCCACCCTTCTCTGTGAAGAACAGAGATGCTCTTGAAATGGACGTCTTTGAACTAAGTCTTCCCTGCTTAGTCTCTGAATTCCCCAAAGTGTGAACGCATGTGCTGAGCTGCACACACATCACCAGAATGACCTTTTCTGGACACATGGCTGTAGGGAGGAGGGCAAGGAGAGGGGCGCCGGTAGAGGGCAGCTTCCCCCTGGCATGCTTGGAAAATGTAGGGCAGATGCCCCCTAAAAATCGGGCACCAAACAAAGTGGGGAGCACCTCCCCAGGTTCCCAGGTGGGAAGCGGAGACTTCTACCCACACGTGGCAGTGATGAGGTGGAGCCCAACGACCACACCTGGGGTGGAGTCAGAAACGGCCAGCTAAAATGGAAGTATCAAACAATACAAAAATGTTACATCTCAGCTGACAGTCATCCATACCAAGAACCAAGAAGATTTAAAAATGAATTAAAACAAGAAAATCAATGAATGCCAACATCAAGGTGATAGGAATGTTGGAATTTTCTGACAGATTTTAAAGCAGTCATGATAAAATTGCTCCAGTGAGCAATTATGAACGTTCTTGAAACACATTCAAAACAGAAAGGCTCAGCAAAGAAACAGCTTAAGGAAAGAAATAGAAGATACAAAGAAGAACCAAGTGGAAATTTTAGATTAAAAAAAATACAATCGCCAAAATAAAAAGCTCAAAGAACAGGTTCAACAGCAGAAGGGAGGGCGCAGAGGAAAGAAAAAGCAGGAGAAACATGTAAGAAAAAACAATAGAAATGACCTGATCTGAACCATAGAAAGTAAACTTGGGAAGAAAAGGCACAGAGCCTCGGGGATGCGGGGACTGTACTCAAACTTTGACATCTGCGTCATCAGTCCCGGAAGGGGAGAAGTAAGGAGGCAAGGCTGAAAACTACTCAAAGAAACAATGATGAAAAACTCCCCAAATTTGGCAAAAGACATAAACTTACAGATTCAAGAAGTTGAGTGAACCCCAAACAGGATAACCACACCCTCCCAAATCAACACCAAGATGCATCACAATTAAACTTCTCAAAATTAAAACACACACACACACACAAACTATATGAAGCAGCCACAGAAAAGCCATTTGAATGACAGCTGATTTCTCATCAGAAGCCAGAGGCCAGAAGTAAGTTGTACGATATTTTTTAAATGCTGAAAGAAGAGTACTGTCAACCTAGAATCCCAAATCTAGCAAAAATATTATTTAGGAATGAAGGGAGAATCAAGACATTCTCAAAAAAAGAAAAAAGAAGATAATGTTTCACCAGCCGACTTATCCTAGAGGGACGGCTACCGGGAGCTCTCAAAACAGAAAGACAATGTTAAAAGAAGGAATATTGGAGCATCAGGAAGGAAGAAATAACTAAGCAAAATATGAATAAATACTATAGGATTTCCCGTTCTACTTCTTTTCCCAATTATGTTTGATGGTTGAAGCAAAAATTATAACATTGCCTAATACTATTCTAAATGTATGTAGATAAAATATTGAGACAATTATAAACAGAAGAGGATTAAGAGTGAATTTTATACTTCATGCAAGCTGATAAAATAACAACAATAAATTGTGAACAATTATGTGTATATAATGTGATGCCTACGGCAACCAATAAAAAGTTATATGTTGAGATATATTTTAAAATGCTATAGAAAAACCAAAATTGAATTATAAAAAAGTTCAAGTAACCCACATAAAAAGAGGGAAAACAAATGAAAAACAAAGATATAGCCCAGACTGGTGTGGCTCAATTGGTTGGGCATCATCCCATTCACCGAAAGATTTCCAGTTTGATTCCCAGTCAGGGCATGTGCCTGGGTTGCAGGCTCAATCTTCTGGGGGTGAGGGTGAGGGTGCAGGAGGGAGCTAGTCAATGTTTTGTTCTCACATCAATCTCTCTCTCTCTCCCTCTCCCTTCCTCTCTCTCTAAAACTCAATAAAAAATATTTAAACACATACACACAAACAAAAACAGAAAGATACAGGAAAAAAAAAAAACACCCCAGAAAAATGGCAGACTTGAGCCCTAACATAGCAATAATTACATTAAATGTAAATGGCCTAAGAAAGCCAATTAAAAGACAGAGCAGATTAAAAATGCTTCAACTATATGCTATCTACAAAAAAACTCATCTCAAATACAATGATGTAGGCAAGTTGAATGGGAAAAAATGGAAAAAGATATATAATTCAAATACTAATCATATAAAGTAAGAGTGGCTATATTAATATATAAAGGAGACTTCAGAGCAGAGAAAATGTCCAGAAACAGACATTGTATAAATGGCCAATCCACCAAGAAGATATAGCAATCCTAAATGTATATGCACCAAATAAGAGAGCTTAAAAATATGTAAAGCGAACTGATAGAACTGAAAGGAGAAATAAACAAATCCACAATTTTAGTTAGAGACTTCAACTTCCTCTCTCAACAACTGATAGACCAACTAAATACAAAGTCAGCATGAATATAGAAGAACTCAATAACATCATCAACCAAAAGAATGTCATTGACATTGGGAGATTACTCCACCCAACCACAGCAGAATACACTTTCTTTTTTGTTCATGGGACATTTATCAAGATAGACCCTATTCTGGGCCATAAAACCAATTTGAAAAAACTCGACATAATACAGAATGTATTCTACAACTACAGTGGAATCAAACTAGAAATTGATAACAGAAAAATCTCCAAATGTAAAATCTAAATAATACACTTCTAAATAATGTATGAGTCTGAAAGGAAGTCTCAAGGGATATTAAAAAAATACATGGAACTGAATAAATGTTGAAGCAGTGTTCACAGGAACATTTATAGCACTAAATTAATATATTAAAAAAGAGGAAAAGTCTCAAGTCAATAATCTAAGTTTTCACTTCAGAAACCTACAAAAAGAAGAGGCAGGGGAAAAACGAACAGGAGGAAGAAATAAAGATAAGAGCAGAAACCAATGAAATTAAAAACAAAAGACAAAATCAGTAAAACAACAAAAGAATTGGTTCTTTGAAAAGAGCAATAAAATTGACAAACCAATTGCAAGAGAGAAGACATAATAAGCAACATTAAAAATGAAATGAGGTATCATTACAGACCCTACAGACATAAAGAAGATAGTAAGGGAGTACTATCTAAAATTCCACATAAATAAACTTGATAACTTAGATGACATGGACCACTTCCTCAAAAAACATAACTCATCCAGTTTGAAATAGATAATTTGAATAGCCCTATAACTATTAAGGACATTGATTTTATAATTTAAAATATTCCAGTTCACTGGAGAATTCTACCAAACATTTAATGAAGAATTGCAAATTATATACTATATCTTCTAGAAAGTAGAAGAGAAGGAAACATCTCCCAACTGATTTTATAAGATATGTATTACTCTTATACCGAAATCAGATAAACACAGTATAAAAATAGAAAACTACAGAACAATATTTCTCACAAATATAGACAGAAATAGCTACAGCAATCAAGACAGTGTGGTTGGTGGAGGGACAGACAGAGACCAATGGAACAGAATAGAAAGCCCAGAAATAGACCCACACGGATATGCTCAACTGATTTTTGATGAAGGTACAAAAACAATGCAATGAAGCAAAGATAGCATTTTCAACAGATGGAGCTGGAGCAATTGAACAGCTATTGGCAAAAAAATGAACCTTGACCTAAGTCTCACACATTGTAAAAAAAAAAAAAACAACTTAAAATGGATCATGGATTTAAGTGTAAAAGTATAAAACTTTTTGAAAAAAACATGGGAGAAAATTGTCAAATCTAGGGCTAAGCAAAGAGTTTGTAGATTTCACACCCAAAGCACAATTCATAAAAAGAAAAACTGATAAATTGAACTTCAACAAAATAAAAAGCTTTTGTTCTATGAAAGCCCGTGTAAAGTGGATGAAAAGACAAGCTGCAATTGGAAGGAGGTGCTGTATTTGAAAACCACAAGTCCAGCCCTGGCCGGTTTGGCTCAGCGGTTAGAGCGTCGGCCTGCAGTCCTGAGAGACCCGGGTTCGGTTCCCGCTAAGGGCATGTACCTCAGTTGCAGTTTGTCCCCGGCTCTGGTCAGTCGTGCGGGTGGCAACCACTCGATGTGTCCCTTTCACATCGTTGTTTCTCTCTCTCTCTGTTCCTCTCTCTCCCTCCCACTCTACCTGAACAAAAAAAATAAAAAAATAAAAATAAAAAAAAGAAAACCACAAGTCCAGCAAGGGAGTAGTATCTAAGATGGATAAACAGCGTTCAAAACTCAACAGCAAAAAAGTGAACAATCCAGTTAGAGCATGGTCAAAAGACATAAAGAGACATCTCACCAAACGGATGGCAATAAACACATGGAAAGATGTTCAATATCACTAGCCATCAGGGAAACACAAATTAAAGCCACAATGAGATACCACACTACACACTTATCAGAGTAGCTAAAATAAAAAATAATGACAGCAGCAAATTCTGGGAAGGATACTGGGAAACTGGATCACTCATATCTTGTTAGTAGGAAGTAAAATGGTATAACCATTCTGGAAAACAATCTGCCAGTTTCTTAACAAACTATACATGCAATTAGTTACCATACAATTCAGCCATTACACTCTTAGGCATTAATAACAGAGAAATGGAAATGTATATTTACACAAAATATGTACATGCATGTTTGGAGCTACTTTATTTATGATAGCCCCAACTGGAAACAACCCAGGTGTCCTTCAACAAATAAATGATTAAACCAACGATGGTTCATCTACACCATAGAATACTACTTAGCAATAAAACTATTGGTCCACACGACCTGGACGGATCTCCAGAGAATCATGCTGAGTGTAAAGAACCAATCCCAAAAGGTTATGTATTTTATGATTCCATCTATGAAACATGCTTGAAAGGACAACATTATGAAACTGGAGAACAGATTAGTGGTTGCCAGGGGTTCAAGAGGATGTGGGGGTGGGAAGGAGGTGGGTAAGTGTATAATTGGGCCCCTTGGGGGACCCTTGTGGGGATGGAATGTTCTGGGTGTTGACTGTGTCAGAGTCCGTATCCTGGCTGTGACCCTGTGGTTTAGTTTGGGAAGATGTTGCCTTTGGGAGAAACTGAGTGAAGTGTACAGGGGATCTCTCTGGATCATTTCTTATAACTGCATGTGAATCTACATGCAGTTATATTGAACTGTTATTGAACTGTTATTCCCAAATACAGTTCAATTTAAGTGAGAGAGGTTCTAGAGCCACATGAGTTTGGGAAACACTGCATACTTTTGCTTAGAGAGTCAAGTTCACTCTAAAATCTCTAAATAAGTCCCGTTATAGGAAACATTTAGCTTTGTTTGCCTGAATGCTCCTCCTTCCCCAGAATGTGGCTCAGTGTGCACTGAATGGGAGTTGTCTTCCTCACGCCTGGCTTCTCATAGTGGGTCCGAATGGGCAGTGTGAACACCAGCTGGAAGCTTGTGGGAGACCTGCCCCAGGCCCGGAAGCAGAATCTATTTCGGTGAGACAGCCAGGTGATTTTCCTGCACTGACCCAGGGCACAGTGTGGGACACCAACAGGGGGCGCTCATTCTACACCACACATGGACACCATGTCCCGTTTAAACCCCACTGGGTAGTCAGGACTCGGTTAAAGTGATGGGCCCACAGTTCCCTGCTATTACGTGGCTGGGCTGGCTGGACCCACCAACCCACCTGGACGGGAGGCAGGGGGACTGTGGCTGCACAGCCAGCACGTTCTCATCTCCACCTGCCCAGCTGCTGCAGAGGGTCCCTCCTGTCCCAACCCACTGGCAGAATCTCATTGCCCCCCTAGACCCTCCTCGTGCCCCCCTGTGGAAGGTCCGCGGGCCTCTTCTGCCCAGGGCATTCTTTGTTTCTGAAACCCTGCATTTCCTCCCCTCTTAACTAACCTCCTACTCACTTCCTTGACATTCTTTCCCAAACACTGGCTGAGCACCTGCTGTGTACTTGAATAGACAGACAAGGCTGTGACGTCATGAAGCTGACATTTCTGTTGGTCCTGGCTTCCTCAGGTGTACCCTAGATGTATCCCAGGTATGCCGCAGCCATATCTCAGGTGTGCCACAGGTAGGCCCCAGGTGTATCCCAGATATGCCCACAGCTGAGTCCCAGGTGTGTCCTAGGTATCCCTCAGGTGTGTTCCAGTTACTCTAGGTGTGTCCCAGGTGTGTTCCTGGCCTCTCCTGTGTGGGACCTCAGCACTGGGTGTAGCTTGGGGACGTCCCCTGCTTCTCTGTCCTAATCTCACCTGAATGCTTCTCTTGGCATTTTGGCGTTGAGGCAAGCCCCAGGTGAGGGGAAGGATGATGATGCGGAGCTGACTTCTCAGCAAGTGCCGGGCTGCCTTAGGTCCTCGGAGCCAGCAGCCTGCCAGGGCCCACAGCTGCCCGTGCCAGGGCGGGACACCTGTCCGTCCTCACACACTGATTGGTTCCTCCGGCCAGTGGTCTCGCTGGCGGACACCCCAGGAAGCTGTTCTCTGTGTTTGTTTGTTTTGTTTTGTTTTTGTTTTTTTCCTCTCTAAATTCCTATTACAGCAGGTTTTCTTCTCACTTGCTCTTTTTCTTTACGATAAAAATAAAATGTGCTGGGGAAAGAAACCAGGCATCCTTATAAATTTCTCTCCTGGGGCCCCCTCTCCCTTCAGTTCGGCCTGTCCCTTCAAGGAAACAAATGGGCGGACGCCCGACTCTGAATCTCTGGGGCTTCAGCGAGGTGCCCCCAGGGTGTCAGGTTTGGCAGGACAGAGCCAGTTTCTGAGGAAGGAGCCTGCAGGCTGCCCATCTAATCTCTGTGGGAGCGGCTTAGGGGATTGTCTTTTTCTGGCACTGGCTTGCCGGCCCGCCCCAAGTCCTCCGTAACCCTGGGCCGGGATTTAGCCTGATCTGTGTCAGCTGGGCTCCCCGGGGGCTCCTGGTGTGGCCCACAGTCATCCTTGTACCAGCCAGGACGCCTCCCGTGCCCAGAGCTGGGAGCGGGCACAGGCCAAGGGCGGCGGGTCAGGCCCGCGCTGGCCATCGGCGCCGAGGGCTGGCTCATGGCTCTTGGGGCCTGAGTGGCAGAAAGCGGGCGCCGGGATGGATTTCGGGTCCCTGGAGACGGTGGTGGCCAACTCTGCCTTCATCGCCGCCAGGGGCAGCTTCGATGGGAGCAGCGCTCCGTCCTCGCGGGACAAGAAGTACCGGGCCAAGCTCAAGCTGCCGCCGCTGTCCCAGTGCGAGGCCCTGCGGGACAGCCTGGACCTGGAGTTCCGGAGCATGTGCTCGGAGCAGCCCATCGGCAAGCGGCTCTTCCAGCAGTTCCTGAAGGCCGACGGGAGGCACGTGCCGGCCCTGGAGCTCTGGAAGGACATTGAGGATTACGACACGACCGACGATGACCTGAGGCCGCAGAAGGCCCGGGCCATCCTGGCTGAGTACCTGGACCCCCAGGCCAAGCTCTTCTGCAGCTTCCTGGACGAAGGGACAGCGGCGAAGGTCCGAGAGGGACCCGTGGCGAGCGGGGACGGGCTCTTCCAGCCCGTCCTGCAGGCCACCCTGGCCCACCTGAGCCAGGCCCCGTTCCAAGAGTTCCTGGGCAGCCTGCACTTCCAGAGGTTCTTGCAGTGGAAGTGGCTGGAGGCCCAGCCCACCGGGGAGGACTGGTTCCTGGACTTCCGGGTGCTGGGGAAAGGAGGCTTCGGGGAGGTGTCGGCCTGCCAGATGAAGGCGACGGGCAGGATGTACGCGTGTAAAAAGCTGAACAAGAAGAGGCTGAAGAAAAGGAAGGGGTACCAGGTGGGCAGCAGGGCCGTGCACAGCGGAGGGCGTGCTCTTAGATCGAGCAGACCAGCGGGTGGGGTCCGTGGGCCAGCAGGGCCCCCAGGGGCTCCGGGGGCTCCTCGCAGCGCCCCTTGGCTGGCTGGCTCACCTTACTGTTTGGACACCGAGCCTCTCCGGTCGTGCAGCTGTTGGCTGGTTCTAGTCCATCAGTCTCCTTGACCTGAGTCACCCCGGCAGTGCCCAGCAGCCGTGTGCCTGGCCCAGAGTGGAGTGGCGAAAGGGGCAGTGTGGCCTCTGCAGTCCTCCGGGCCCGTGGCCCAGCGTGTGCAGCTGCTCTCAGCGCTCAGCCTCACGCTCCGCACACACAGGTGTGCTGACGTCCCTCCTGGGAAAGCGGCCTTTGCACTTTGTGGTGTGGATGACGCCCCACATCCTGTCATCCTTGGTTTTCACCAACACCACAAAACACGGTAGCAGTGCCGGGAGAGGCCGTGGGGTTGTTCTCCAAGTCTTTACTCTGGCCGTCGGGAAGGGTCCCGAGCCCTGGCGTTTGCCGTGATGGAGAAGCCACAGGGAATCCAGCCAGGGCTGGCTCCGGCCTTTTAGGTGAGGCTGAGCCCGTCCGTGGTGCCGCCGTTTTCCAGGCATGGGAGTGAATGGAGGCACAGGCAGGTCGCTGAGTGGGGTCTGCTCTCTTTAACTGGGGTCAGACCCCACTTAGGCAGGATCAGCGGAAGCTGCTTAGTGTCTTAGGAACGCATCTCAGCCATGTGTCCATGTGTGGCTCTTTGTCTCTCCTGCTGCACCATGCAGAGTGTGTTGGGGCGAACACAGCTTTTAGGGGTAAACAGCTGCTGCCACAGAGCACCCCTGGGGTTCCTGGGTGGTGCTCCCTCTGTGGGACTTTTCGGGGAAGCTGTTAGCCCCCTCATGTCGGCTCTCTGCCTGTCATTTTAATCCATAATTAGAGTACTTCAGTTGCTTCTCTCCTGAGTTCAGGGTCCTCCTTGAACTTAATACAAAGTAAAATCAACCCCAAATCTTCACATGCAGTGTGGACAGAAAGGGGCCTCTTCCAACATCAAGAATTCCTCCTTCAGAAAGGGATTCTGCTTTTCTTATCCAAACACAACTTTAAAAACATGTTAAATGAATATCATAAGGTTTTAAAATAAAGATAGAAAATGAACAGAGGTGCAGGGTGGCTTGACCTCAGCTGTCCGCTGTCCAGATGCCTGGCCAGGAGGAAAGGGGCTGAGATTTTGGCAGAATGATTGGCAGCTGGGGCCATACTGAGCCCTCACCTAACATTTTAAGACTGGTTAGCTGGAGTGTCCCCTTCTGGAACCTCCAAGAAACCTGAAGTCTGATTTTGTTTATTTGCAATTGCTTTGTGCAAACCACTTTGAAAAGGTATTTGCAACTCTGTTTTCACTTTATTGGAAGGTTTTTTGGTTTGCAGAACTTGGACTTTTATGACAATGTCACTTCCCCACCTAAACCTGGGAACTTTTTCAACATCTTGCTTTTCAGGGTGCTATGGTAGAGAAGAAGATTCTAGCGAAAGTACACAGCAGGTTCATAGTCTCTCTGGCTTATGCATTTGAAACCAAAACTGACCTCTGTCTGGTGATGACCATCATGAATGGAGGTGACTTAAGGTAAACGGGGTTCCTTTCTTCCATGTGGGAGCTGGGAACTGGGAGGACTCAAGTGGTTCAGCTTAGGAAGGGGATCTCTGGGGCCCAGCGAGGCTGTTCTCGCATGCAGAGAGCATGGCAGAGAGGAAAAGTCCCTGTTGAGATCCACTCCTTCTGTGTTCTGGTTGCTGATACTTCACACGATGTGTCCTCAGTCCATGTGAAATGCAGGTGGGGGCTATGGCTCTCTGGACCATGGGTTTGTGGGGATGGGGGGCAGTTATTGGGTGGGCAGAATGTGGAGCTGTGGGTCCGGAGCTAGTTGTATGGTGGGGACCTCCCAGGAGCTGAGGGCCTTGTGCTCAAAGGGATGGAAAATGAAGATGGATTTCACCAATGACCCACTCTCGGGGATGATGGCAGAACTGAAAACATGACATGCCAACTTTGGGGGCCAGGCTTTGCCTGTCACCGGCAGAGAACCAGGGTGGCAGCAATGTATGGTGTCTGGATTGTCCAGGGGTCTGAGGGCCCTGCTCTGGGCTCCCAGGGAAAATCAGGTCACTGGCTCTCAGAGGGGAAAATCCCACTTGCTAGCTGGGCAACCTGACTGCTCAGTGCGCTGGCACGTGAATGGGCATAAAGAGTAATGGGTGGCGAAGGCTGTGGGGAGTAGGTTGATACACGCGGGACACAGACAGTGTCACAGCTGCTTTCACAAATGAGGGACTGTTCTGCTGCTGTTTCTTACATTGTCCCGTCTAGTTTCCTCTCCAATGAACTCTGCCAGGTAGGTTTGTTGGCTCCGTTTTCCTGATGAGGATTCTGAGGCCTTGACTAAGTAACCATGGAAGGTCACATAGAAGAGGAGAAGAAGGGTCTAGGAACTGCAAATAGCATGGCAGAGTAGAAATGATCATGATGCTGTACTATACTGCATTCTACCATACCACACTGCACTACCCTGTGCTGTATTCTACCATACCACACTGCACTACCCTGTGCTGTATTCTACCATACCACACTGCACTACCCTGTGCTGTATTCTACCACACCACACTGCACTACCCTGTGCTGTATTCTACCATACCACACTGCACTACCCTGTGCTGTATTCTACCATACCACACTGCACTACCCTGTGCTGTATTCTACCACACCACACTGCACTACCCTGTGCTGTATTCTACCACACCACACTGCACTACCCTGTGCTGTATTCTACCATACCACACTGCACTACCCTGTGCTGTATTCTACCACACCACACTGCACTACCCTGTGTGTATTCTACCACACCACACTGCACTACCCTGTGCTGTATTCTACCATACCACACTGCACTACCCTGTGCTGTATTCTACCATACCACACTGCACTACCCTGTGCTGTATTCTACCATACCACACTGCACTACCCTGTGCTGTATTCTACCATACCACACTGCACTACCCTGTGCTGTATTCTACCATACCACACTGCACTACCCTGTGCTGTATTCTACCATACCACACTGCACTACCCTGTGCTGTATTCTACCATACCACACTGCACTACCCTGTGTGTATTCTACCACACCACACTGCACTACCCTGTGCTGTATTCTACCACCACACTGCACTACCCTGTGCTGTATTCTACCATACCACACTGCACTACCCTGTGCTGTATTCTACCACACCACACTGCCTACCCTGTGCGTATTCTACCATACCACACGCACTACCCTGTGCTGTATTCTACCATACCACACTGCACTACCCTGTGCTGTATTCTACCACCACACTGCACTACCCTGTGCTGTATTCTACCATAACCACACTGCACTACCCTGTGCTGTATTCTACCATACCACACTGCACTACGCTGTGTGTATTCTACCATCACCACACTGCACTACCTGGTGTATTCTACCACACCACACTGCACTACCCTGTGCTGTATTCTACCATACCACACTGCACTACCCTGTGCTGTATTCTACCATACCACACTGCGCTACCTTTGCTGTATTCTACCATACCACACTGCACTACCCTGTGCTGTATTCTACCTACCACACTGCCTACCCTGTGTGTATTCTACCACACCACACTGCACTACCCTGTGCTGTATTCTACCATACCACACTGCACTACCCTGTGTGTATTCTACCACACCACACTGCACTACCCTGTGCTGTATTCTACCATACCACACTGCACTACCCTGTGTGTATTCTACCACACCACACTGCACTACCCTGTGCTGTATTCTACCGTACCACACTGCACTACCCTGTGCTGTATTCTACCATACCACACTGCACTACCCTGTGTGTATTCTACCACACCACACTGCACTACCCTGTGCTGTATTCTACCATACCACACTGCGCTACCCTGTGCTGTATTCTACCATACCACACTGCGCTACCCTGTGCTGTATTCTACCATACCACACTGCGCTACCCTGTGCTGTATTCTACCATACCACACTGCGCTACCCTGTGTGTATTCTACCATACCACACTGCACTACCCTGTGCTGTATTCTACCATACCACACTGCACTACCCTGTGCTGTATTCTACCATACCACACTGCACTACCCTGTGCTGTATTCTACCATACCACACTGCGCTACACTGTACTGTATTATACTACACTCTAGTACCATACATTACATGGCACCATACCGTGTTGCATTGTATGATATTATCCTATACTATACCATACCACACTGCACTACACTGTGCTGAATTATACTACACTCTAGTACAGTACATCACATGACACCATATAATATTATCCTGTACTATACCATACCACACTGCATTATACTGTAAACTATAAGACTACACTGTACTATATGAAAATACACTATACTACCCTAAATATTACACTATAGTGCATTATGCTATACTGTACATTATACTACACACTATACTAAACTATGCTGCATTGCCGCGCACTACATTACATTGTTTGGTTGGCGATGGTGAAATGGCTCCCGCCCATCTCCCCGCCTCTGCAGGCCAGGGCTGGGATGGGGCAGGAGAGAGGAGGGCAGTTTGCTGCCCCATTTCCGTCGTGACACTTGTGGTGAAGGGTCTTGAGGGTGCAGGCACCCACTGCCGGGGGTCTTGACTTTGCCGCAGGCTCTGCAGGCTAGCAGAGGCCCCCAAACGACCACTTTACTGATACAACGCAGGATTCCGAGGCCCTCCCTGTTGTCCCAAAGTTTTACTTTCATCCGAACCATGGTCGTGCTCTTGTAGTTGTGCCGGAAAAGCACAGGCTTCTGCATAGTCTGTCTCCAGGTACCACATCTACAATGTGGACGAGGAGAACCCTGGCTTCCAGCAGCCGCGTGCCATCTTCTACACGGCGCAGATCATCAGCGGCCTGGAGCACCTGCACCAGAGGGCCATTGTCTACCGCGACCTCAAGCCTGAGAACGTGCTGCTGGACGACGAAGGTGAGGCGGCCTTCCTCTCTGAGCCTCCCCTCCCGGCCTCTGCTTGCCCAGCTGGACTTTGTGGCCCCATGGGTCATCTGTAGGGGGATGGGCTGGTTTTGACAAATGCTTGTCAGAGCTGTAAGTGGCACTAAGATACTTCTTAAGTTTGTTTATTGTTCCTTTAGCCATTTTGCAATGGAATGGCATTATACCCAAATGGAGATTTTAGATGGACTTTGACAAAATTTGGTACATAATGAGGCACTATAGTTACAGGGAGTTAAGCCAGGATGTTTACAGTGTCTGGAACTATTGGTAAATAGTTAATATTTTATGGCCCAATTGTTTTCTTTCTGCCTTCTATGTGAAGTCAATTTGGGATTCTTGCCAGAAATAAACATAGAGATTTAGGCTTCCTTGATATCCCTTTAGATTAGCCTCCTTTTCTGTCTCCAAGTCACACAAATGCATAAACATTCTCTTTTTTTTCCCCTTTTATTCCTCACCTGAGAATTTTTCTCCATTCATCATTAGCTAGAGTGGGAGGGAGGGAGAGAGACAGAGAGACAGAGAGAAACACCATTGTGATAGGGCCACATCACCTGGTTGCCTCCCGCACAACCTGACCAGGGCCAGGACGAACCACAACCGAGGTACGTGCTCTTGACTGGAATCGAACCTGTGACTCATTGGTCTGTGGGCCGACGGTCTACCACTGAGCCAAACTGGCCAGGGCTGATGGGCACTCTCAAAGGCCATTGCTGCAGAGCTTGGGGAATAGAAAGCAGAGGAGGAAACTGAACAAGGGTGAATTATGCTTCAAATTCAGGTTATAGGTGCTGATGGGACCCCTCAGTCCCTCTGTAGATTGGCTGGGGAGCAGAGGCATCCAGGTGTTGAGGCCTCACGTCCCCCCACCTTGGCGTGTGCATGTGAGTGTGGGTGTGTGTGATCTGCACGTGTTCATGAGTGTATGTGCATGTGTGTGAGCAGGTGTGTTTGTTGTGAATGCACATGCACATTTCTGCATGCACATGTGCACGAACATTTGCGTGCATGTGTGTATGCACATGTTCATGTGTATTTGTGTGTGCATATGTGTGTGTGTGTGTGTGCACACGCGCAGAGGCTGGCTCTTGGCTCCTGTGGGTTTGAGAAACACCAGAAGCCCTTGTTCTGTGGAGCCTCATATGACCTCAGCCCATGTTTGCTTTTCAGGCAATGTCCGAATTTCTGACCTTGGGCTGGCCGTGGAGCTGAAGGAAGGGCAAACCAAGACCAAGGGCTATGCAGGGACCCCAGGTAAGGCCCTGAGAGCAAAGATAGGAGCAACTTCTCCTAGGGGAAGGGGTGAGGCCCCAGGGTTCTTGGGAGTCCCCATGATCTGGGGCTGGTGGTGGCACGGTGAGGGCTGGGGGTTTGTAGGAAAGCTGTTCCCTCATCCCCAGAGCAAGCAGCAAAACCAGAAGGACTGGCTAGTGGGCTTGACAGCTGCAGCAAAAACCTGTACCCATTGCAAGGATGACCCCTCCTCACCTGAAAAATCACTACTGGTTTTAACATGGCACCCTCTGTTATGAAAGATTCCACCATAATGGCTTTCTTGTTTTGTGTCACAGAACCCTTTCAATCCTTGGGCTTTGTGCATGTTGGGGGTTTGTACCTGCTACCACAGTCTGTCCTCATCTGTGGCTTTATTAGGGGAAGTGTAATCTTGAATTTTCTGGATCCTCAGCCAAAATCTATGAAGTTCTACTCCTGGCATGAGCATATGAGTGGAAACACCACTCATGTATTTCAGGGTGATTCAGATTGTTAGGAGAAAGTCCAGAAAACTCCGAGGCCAGGATTTGAAGTAGTTTGACCTCAAGGGCATAGCCTGACCTTGTTTGCATCGAGTGTGAGGGCCCTATCAGCCACCAGAGGGCCCCATAGGCTTTGCTGTGGCCTCTGAGTCTCAGCTTTACTTTGAACAGCCCGAGCAAGTTTTCAAGATGGGTGGTTCTCTTGATGGGCCCTTGTAGGCGTGGCTCTGAGCATTTGGGCTCAGGCAAAGGGTGTGACCCTCAAACAGCAGCAGCAGATGCTGAAGTTAGGGTAACTTAAAAAGCTCGGGCATCCAGCAAAACCACAGGGGGCTGCCTTCTGGGTCCCACTTCTTCAGCCCCTCTGCACAGTACCAGCACTAGGCCCCACCTAGAGCCAGAGCCTCTGTGCTCTGCAATTGATCATAAACAGGGGGCTCACCTTGGCTAGAGCTGTGCCAGCCCAGTGGGATACGTGGAAGAGATGTAAGTCATGCTCTCTGTCCCCACTGAGTTACCAGCCAGGAGAGGGAGATGAGTCAATATGTGGAAGAATTAGTGACTAGACTGAGGTAGTATTTGTTCATTCATTCAAACAACAAACATTTGTTGGCTCTTGGTCTGCCCCAGGTGCCACATAAGACCCTAAGGATACAAAAAGATGCATCATTGGGGACTGAGTTGGGTGGAACAGACTAGTGGTGCCACTGAGGTATTTGTCACAGGAGATGATCACATCCCTGTGGTCTTCTTATTGGCCTGCCTCTTGGATCCCCTTTTAATCTAAAAGTTGTGGTCAGTTGAACATATCTTTTCCACCAAGTCTGAGCAGTCTGGACAATAATGTAATTCCCCGAAAAGCAGATGTATTACAAAGCTATATTCAGGGCCAGGAGGTTCTTTGGAATTTGACTCCTATAACCTCTTTGGGAAGAAATGATTCTGCAGTCACATCAGCCAACCAAGCACATTTTCCTCTTGGAAACTTACCGTGAGCACCAGTATACTGAAGGACCAGGAAGAGTCAGAAATAAATGGACACAATTAACTTTGCTTAGCTCGGAATGTCTAAAGTCAGTTCGGCACAGAAGCCTGTGCCCAGCTTATAACACCTGGCCCTAGTTTCAGGGAGTGGCCCCAGGAACTGGCCTGTCTGCCTTTCCCATGTGCTGGTCTGGCTCTACACAGGTGGCAGTTAGGGAGTAGAAGCCCAAATCTTGTTGACCACACGTCCCTAATACCCCAAATATGGCACAGACCTGGCATAGGAACAGACAAGGTCATGGTGGGCATCTGACCTGCTCCTGGAAGTTGGACTAAGCCAGACATAAACATCTGACAAGTTCTTACTTGCTTTGCTGGCCACGGCATCTTTTTTTTTTTTTTTTTTTTAATTTTTTTTTTAAATCCTCACCCGAGGACATTTTTCCATTTTTTTATACAGATAGAGTGGGAGGGAGAGAGAAAGAGAGAGAAACATCGATGTGAAAGGGACACATCGAGTGGCTGCCACCCGCATGACCAACCAGGGCCGGGGACAAACTGCAACCGAAGTACGTGCCCCTAGCGGGAACCGAACCCGGGTCTCTCCGGACCACAGGCCGACGCTCTAACCGCTGAGCCAAACTGGCCATGGCGCCATGGCATCTTTTATCTGAGACAGAGGCATAAAGAATATGATTAGGAACATATAACAGTCAGACAGCACAGTACTTAGGCACATGGACCCAACACTGGGCTGCACAGGTTCCAAGACCATCTGTCTTTGTGACCTTGGAGAAGTTGCCTATATGTCCTCTCCCATAAAAGGGTCATAATTACTTCCCATGGGTAATATTGGAAATGAGAAGATAATGGAAAAATGTCATAAAAATAAGAGAGAAAATGATATCCTACCTAGAATTTTATACCCATCCAAATTATCAGTTACATATTAAAGCACAATAAAGACATTTTCAGACACAGAAATTCTCAAAAACACACTTCAGCACTGTTCCTCAGGGAACTACTTGACCAAAATAAGGGAGTCAACCAAAAAGTGGAATATATTGGAAGGAGGACACACAAAGGGAAAAGGTTCCGGGATGACAGGAAGATTCTAGGCTGCTGGTGTGCATACCAGAATCCATATTAGAGCAGGTTAGAAGGTTCCGGAAGACTTTCTGATGAAAATGAAATTGATAACATATTTAATATCTCAGAACATGACAGTTATTAGAGAATTTAGCGTCAAACTGATCATCAGCACATAGAGAACTAAGCAAATAAAAGAAAAGAGAAAGTAATCTGGGAAGACCAATAAAAACTTGTCAGAAGGAAAATAAAGCTGGGGCTTAGTTTTTGGTCCAGTGGGGAATAGTTGAGTTGAGTGCTCACCAGCCAGATGAGGTATCAGGAAGGGGACGAGGGGAAGTGTGTGCATGGCGGTGGAGGGAAGAGGAAAAGACCCTCCATTTCCAGAGTGAGGAGTCAGCTGAGGAGGCCCCTGGGAACTGCAAAAGCAGCGATATGAGTGTGTTATTTAGAGGTATGTATATTAATTCCAAAATAACGAGCTAGAATAATTCTGAGACAGGGATGAGGCCTCTGAGGAGGGCTCAGACCCTGTACAACTAGCTTATTCTTTATGTGCCTGAATGATTTGGATTCAAATGAAAACTAAGTTATAGAAAGGCCATGAGGTGGAGTAACAGTGGGTTTAACTATCACGCCAAAGGATAATGTAATGGTTTGAAGCTCAGATGGCAGGGTTTGGATCATTCTGTTACCTACCATCTATGTTATTGTGAGCAAGTGACTTTCCTACTATAAGGAAAGTAGTGGCACTTACTTCTCGGTGTTAAGAAGATTAAATGAGATCACTTTGTACTCTCTCCTGCCACACAGTAAGCATGGAGTGGGGCTCAGCTAGAATAAGTGCTACTAAAGGGTGCTGATATATGGACCCACATCAGTCGAGAACCAGCCCTCTTTTTGTTCTTAATTTTCTTTTAAAAATTTCTTTTGATGATATAGGAGAAACTTCTGAGCTCCTCTCTCCCCATCCCCCAACCCCCACCTCCGTACAAGGCCTCCTTGAGGGCCAAGAGCCCGGCTTTGGTGAGCACCCCTCAGCTTCAGCCTCAAGTGTGGCTCCTGGGACAATGCTCATTCTTTTTGGAAATGTTTTGGCTTAAATCTGTCCTTTGGTGCCCTTTCAGGAAGCATCTTACAGCACCTGTCTCTGCAACCTTCATGACCACACACACCCAGGGCCATACACAGGCCATACACGCCTGAGAGCAAGGAAGAATGACCGTTCTGTCTGTCGTGGTGTACCCAAGGGGAGATGAGGCTTCACGCCATGTGTACAGAGTAGTGGTTCTCCCCCAGGGGCAATTTGCTCCTAGGACACACTCGGCAATGTCTGAAGACATTTCTGGCTGTCACCACTGGGGAGGGGTGCTAACTAGCAGGCAGAAGCCAGGGCTGCTCCTCAGCACCCTAGCGTGCACAGGGCAGCCCCACCACAGAGGATTTTCTGCCCCACACGTCACTGCGTACATGTGGGAGCATCGGTCCTGTGCTCCCCACCACACATCGGCATCTCTGAGTCCACAGTGCTCTTGCCTGGCAGGTTTCATGGCCCCCGAGCTCCTGCGAGGCGAGGAGTATGGCTTTTCTGTGGACTACTTCGCCCTGGGGGTCACGCTCTATGAGATGATCGCAGCCAGAGGACCCTTCCGAGCCCGAGGAGAGAAGGTAGGAGGTGGCCTACCCCGTGTCCCTGCAGCTGTCCCGGGGTTGACTCTCCTTGTTGGGTGGGTGTCACAGGAGCAGGTGTCACTGTAGCTGGTGAGGACCCTCCCTTTTGGGGGAACTGCTTAACTCTTGAACACTAGGCTTCTCCTGGTAGGTCCTTCATGGGCAGAAGAGAGGAGACACAGTGACTTCATCTCATGTGGCCCGAGACACTGAGAAGCATTTCAGGACAAGAGGTGCCTGAGCCATCCCAAACCAACCCCATGAGCAGCACTCAGCACCTACCTTTGTCCCACGGAGCCACCTGGTCACTTTGGTGGCCTCCACGCTCTTCAGTGCAGACGAAGGCTGAGAGCAGCCTCCCCATGAAGCCAGGAACCCGCAGGTCCTGCCTCAGTGGGTATTCCATGCCCTGCCTGGGCCGCCCACGCTCCTTGCTTCCCTGTGTGGCCTGCCCCGGGCATCTCCACACTCCAGGAGCGAGGAGGCCGGGTGTGGACCGCAGACTTTACACCTGGTGCCTCACCCACCCACCTCCGCCTGGATGGAGTCGTACCCATCCCTTCCTCCCGCCTGGACCTCCTAGAGAGCCCCCAGGCCTCGCCCTGTCCCCTACAACAGTTGTGAGGACCACCCAAGTCCCCAGCCTTCTAAGAGCAGAGTCTCCTCGCATGATGGACACACCCAGTCACTCTGTGCCTCTGCAGTTCCCCCGTGAGCTCTAGTTACCAGTTCCCTCTCCTGACTCCTAACAGCCCAAAAGAGCAAAAAGGGACAAAATGGCGAGGGCCGTGGTAGAAGCTCCCACCTCCCACCCCAGAGCTCTCGCTGACCCCACAGCCCCAGCCACAGTCCCTGTACAAGCACAGTGAGCTTTCATGAGATGCTCAGTGTGAACCGACCCGACTCCGTAGTGACGGGGAGGAAGGAACCGAAATACACCCACAACACGAATGACTTCACGTCTGGGAAATTCTAGGACAGGGTATCTACTCTACTGTGAGGAAGTGGGTCAGTGTTGGCCTGAGTCCCAGGTGGAGGTGGTCTTCAGCGGGCACGGGACTGTGGGGTGATGGTGGTGGTGGGGTCTTTGGAGACTGATCGAAGCCTGTCACTTGGGTCACAGAAGATGAGCTTTGTGCTTTGTGCATTATTCTCTATAAAGCTGGTTCAAAACAAGGTGAAACAGGCCCCCGCCCCCAGGTTCCTATCCAGTTAGCAGACTTCTCTCCGGCTCAGGCCCGTGAAGCTGCCTTTTTATTTCCTGTTACTCTTTTTTTCTCCAGTAGCTGAGCAGTGGTTATATATAATGCGCATGGTGTCAACTGGAATTCCTTAAACTATACTGCACCCCAACTTCGACCAGTACCTTTAGGGTTCCACACTGCTCACTGGAGATACTGAGCCCTTTCACTGCTACCATGCTGCGAAGCAGTGCACGCGGGTGTTCCTGTCGCCTCTGCCTCCGTAGCGAGGGCCGGCCTCTTTCTGAGCGCTAGCCCAGCCTGGACCCCAGCAGGGGCCGGCCAGTCTCCTGGAGGTTTAACATGATGCATGTCCCACTGTGCAGGTGGAGAACAAGGAGCTCAAGCAGAGGATCCTGTCGGAGGCGGTCAAGTACACAGACAAGTTTAGCCAGGCCAGCAAGGACTTCTGTGAGGCGCTGCTGGAGAAGGACCCTGAGAAGCGCCTGGGGTTTAGAGATGGGACTTGCGAGGGGCTCCGCATCAACCCTCTCTTTAAGGACATTAATTGGAGACAGCTCGAGGCTGGTACTGTCGTCATGTCCTTGGACCCGGGGGGCGGCAGGGGGTGGGTCCGTTAGGTGACTCTTGCTTGACTGACCCCTACTCTTGGCATCAGCTGGGCTTAGCTCAGTGTCAGCGGAACAGGAATACCTGATTGATGCTCTTCCAATAACTACCCTCCTGCCTCCTGGTAAAACTACCACCCTCCAGTGCCCTGTTCATGCCCCATGCAGCCCAGGGCTGGGTGTTAATGGATTAGGCCTTTTGGGGAAAACGCTGGAGTTCGGACAAGGTTGGATGTCACATGTGGGGAATGTGGGGGCTTACCTGTGATCCGAGCCTGCTGTTTTGCATCTCCACACCCTGTTTTTTCATGGAGCCCATGATTCACATCAAGGCAAGGTTGCGCAAGCTGTCTTCTCGGGAGAAATTCATTCATTCAACCAGCATTTATTGTCAAGTGTCATGTTCAAGATGCTGTGTGTGTGTGTGCGTGTGTGCATGAGTCTGTGAGACACGAGTGTGGGACACAGCTGCATGCCCAGAGCTTACAGCCAGCATCTGTACACATGTGAGTAGATGGCAGCAGCCCCAGAGCAGTGAGTAGTGGATGCCCCAGTAAGAGAAATTACTTTTGCAGGAAAGGGTCAGGGCAGAGGTGGGTCCGGGTTGCCCTGCAGGTGGGCTCCACCAGGAGAGCCGTGAAGACCAGCCCGGGATGGGGTGAGGACACAGCTCTGAGAGATCAGACCAGGGGACGCTGAGCCAGAACATTAGTCCTGAGGTCGCTGCAGTGGTCTGGCAGCCCATCCATGAGCTGAAGGGACGGATGGGGTGAGAGGTGAGAGGGAGGCAGGGTCCATCCAGTGGGGGTCCTAGGTGACCAAAGTCCTGTACCTGGCAACTGGAGAATCATGGCTCCAGACGGAAAAGCTGGCTTTGGAAAGATGAGGAGTTCGGCTCTGAGTGGGGTTCCAGGTGTCCGACCTGCATACGGCCATGCCCGGAGAGGCTGGCATGAGGGCACATGTCTGAGGTCTGCAGTGAGGGGAGGAGACCATGTGGGGCAAGAACACACTGCCCTTCCTGTCGGCAGTGTGGGATGCCCAGGACCCCCTCGGGTGTTCTGATTCCTTTTCTTTTTTTTAAAACCCTCACCCGAGAATATTTTTCCATTGATTTTTTTTTTTTTGAGAGAGTGGAAGGGAGGGAGGAAGGGGAGAGGGGGAGGGAGAGAGAGAGAGAGAGAGAGAGAGAGAGAAAGAAACATGGATGTGAGAGAGACACATAGATTGGTTGCCTTAGGCACCCTGAACACCCCCATCAGGGCTGGGGATGGAACCTGCAACCCAGGTACATACCCTGGACCGGAATGAATCTGTGACCCGTTGGTCCCGGGGCCGATGCTCTAACCACAGAGCCACATGGGCCAGGGCTGTTCTGACTCTGTTGTTAGCAACCAGACACCCCGCAGAAGGGCAGCAGCGAGACCGTGGCCCTGCGCGCCCGCCGAGCAGGGCGGACATCGGCAGATCGCCGCTGCCTTCCCGCGTACCCTTTTACACCTGTGTTTTCTGTCTCCTCACAGGGATGCTGATACCGCCCTTCATCCCAGACTCCAGAACTGTCTATGCAAAGAACATCCAGGACGTGGGGGCCTTTTCCACGGTCAAAGGGGTGATCTTTGAAGAAGCAGATAAGGAGTTCTTCCGGGAATTCGCCACCGGCAACTGCTCCATCCCCTGGCAGGAGGAGATGATTGAGACAGGCGTCTTTGGGGAACTGAACGTGTGGCGTGCAGATGGGCAGATGCCCGATGACATGAAGGGGATCGCCGTGGAGGAGGCCGCTCCCTCCTCCAAGTCGGGAATGTGTCTGGTTTCCTAGATGGGGAAGAAAAGGGGCCTCCCTCTGCAGCTGGCAGGGATGAGCAGGCCTGGGTGAGTCAGTGGAGCCCACCCGCGGTGACAGGCAGCCCCCCACCAGGCCGCCTGTGTGGCCGGGCTGCTCACAGCAGCAGCAGGAGAAAGGAGGCAAAGAGCCCCTCAACTTCCCAGCCCCGGGGTCGGGAGCTTCAGCTTGTAAATGGTCCACTTCTTTTGCCCTATTTCAATCAAAACGACACAATGGTGGTTGCTGGACAGAGTCCACCAGCAATGCCTGGCTGTCCAGGCTCTTGTGTGGACACACAACTGGCAGTAGTGTTGAGCATGTGGGCAGATGGCTGCCCCGATGAGAGGATGCTCAGTTTCAGCTCCCTGCACCTTAACTGCAGACCGTGAGAGAGGCCTGGACTGTGGGCCTCGGCTTGGTCTCTCTTCACACCCAGCTCCTGTTCCTCCTGCCACCGGGCCGCTGCCCGGGCCCTGGGGACATGGATCGGCTCTCCCTGCACCCTCCGGAGAAGAGTGGGCCTTGACAGTCAATGGCTTTGGAGGGTTGCTGGCCAAAACTGGAACACCAACTACCTCCGATATGCTCCAGAGCGCGGTGGGAAAGATGACCTGTCTCGAAGCCGTTGTGTGTGCTTCAGACGACTGTCAGGTGTAGACTCTAGTGTTGTGGAGACATTCCAAGTGTGTTCTTTAGAGTTACCTTATGCAGATGAAGACTTTCAAACCCCCTAGGACTGGTGAAATAAACCCTAGAAGAAAGATCCTTCTCTCCTGGGGTGTGGTATTGTAGAGTCAAGGATGCCCCGGAAGGGCCTCGGACAGGCACCCACGGCCATGCGGCACATCTTCCTGGGCAGGCCCAAGACGAGAGCTCCGGGGGCTGGGGACACTGCGCTGTTGTAGGGCACATTGCTGTGTGCTTCCCTAAGGCTGGTCTTTGTGTTCTAGAATGGTACACATGGGTTAGGCAATGGCTATGCATTCCACTTCTCTACACTCCGGTGCAAGAAGGACCCGTTTCTGATTTTTCTAAAGCCATTTATTCCTTACTAGGTCCCCATGGCCCTGAAGGGTGTTCGAAGCAGCCTCAGCTGTGTGGGTGGAGGCCTGACCCTCGCCCCCTCTGGCCACTGTCACCATGTGCCTGGCCGGGGCTCACCATGCCTGATAGTGGAGGCCACACTTTCAGGTTCCAGTGAGGACCTTTCTGCCTTTATCTTACGGTTAGATGACCACCTAAAAGACAGGACAGCCAGTGACATTTGAACTTCAGATAAACAACAACTAATTGTTTTACTGTATGTCTTTAATTATTGCCTAGGAACACACTAAAACATTGTTCATTGTTTTTTGACTAAATCGGGCATGCTGTGACTCCCCTATGAACAGGTGTCCCACTGAACTCGCGGGTCTGCTGGAACATAGTAACAAAGGCAACGTACTTGTGACTTCAGCTGTCTCGTGGAGTCTGTTCGGGCTTGGTCCTTTCCTATCCGCACCTGTGCCCGGGTTGGCCCCATGTATCTACACACGGACACTCAAAAGTCCTGTAGTCACTTCATTTTTTTAAAAACCTTTCAAACATAAAATTTCACATAGAGAAAATGAATCATGGATGCTCAGTCAGTGACCACACTGTGACACCGGAGACGCCCGCAGGAGCAGACCCAGGACACGGCTGGCTCCCAGCAGCCCCATGCCCCACCCTGCCGCTTCCCTGCCCCCAGGTGGCCGTGCAGCTGCCCGCAGCCTTTTCAAGTGCCCCGTCCATCCACGGGACAATCGGGACTCTAGTTACTTCAAATTTCTTTCCCAGTTGGGCCGAAGGGATGTTCCTGCCCTCCCCTTCAGGCTCTCCTGTCCTTCCCGGTCAGCCTCAGCTCATGGCTCCTGGGGACGAGGCTGGGGAGGAAGATGGACAGGGCAGGTCTGATCGGCCGGGCAGGTGCTTACGGCCACTCTTCTCTATGAGGCTTCTTATGGGTCTTTGGGGACCTCCGCTACGGGCGTCTCTCAGATACAGCCCCCCTGGCCAAGCACATGCCAAGGGGTCTTGCTGGCCGGCAGTGTCTGCCAGTCCTCACTCCAGCTCTCTCCCCTGCTCACCTGGGTCCAGGGGACCTGCTGTCCCACTTGGGCTATGGGGCTGCCTGCTGCCCCCAACACACCTTGCTCTGCCCCAGTACTGCTGGCCTCTCTGGGCTCTGTGTTCACCCACAAAGCACATCTCGGGGGCTCCGGGGGCTCAGGTGGAGTCCTCTCCAGAGAAGCCTTCGTCTCTGATCCCTTTAATGCTCTATGCTGTGAGCTGGCTAAGGATTCTCAGAACCCAGGTTCGAAGTCCGGACAGTGTGGCTGGTCTTAGGCACTTGGGCATCTGATCTTGGTTGTCTGCCTGCCCTGGCTGACAGCCTGACAAGACACATCCCCCTTCTACCGTCCTGTGTGTGTGGGGGGGCGTGTTCTGACATGCAACTATGGTAAGAACATCACCACGGTATTTCCTTAGCCACCTAATCCCTGGGAGGATGGTCAGGGCGGCGAGGGGCCCTGGAGATGCTTAGATCAAAATGGCTTCAGGGAGACTTTTTGTTTGTAAAAACAAAAACACAATTTCTACTCAAGTGGAAAAGGATAACAATAAAAAAATGAGGGACTAACTGGCCAGGTGGCTGGGTTGGTTGGAGTGTCATCCTGTACACTATAAGGTTTCTGGTTCAATTTCCAGTCAGGGCACATATCTAGGTTGTGGGTTTGATCTCTGGTCAGAGCATGTATGGGAGGCAACCAACTGATGTTTCTCTCTCACATCAATACTTCTCTCTCTTTCTCTCTCTCCCCTCCCCCTTCCCGTCTCTCTAAAATCCACAAAAACATATAGTCAGGTAAGGAATTAAAAAAAAAAGAGGGATGAATTTCCTTGATTGTGATATAAATACTAGTTGCATTCTTTCCTTTGAAATCACATATACACACACACATACAAGTATATGCATGCACACACATATATACACATGCACACACATATACACATTCACACACACACACACACACACACACACTTTGCCTTCATTTTCCTCTCTCTATGGCTACCAGATTCTGAAGATTGCTCTCAAAGCCCTGTTCATCAGCCTTTGAATTCCAGTGCATCTGATTTGCATACTTCTACTTTGTTCCTTGTCATGGCACATTTTGTGTGGCTTTATTCTGCTATTTACAGTAGCTAGTCAGTCCCTACTGTCTATACGTATTATTCCCCTTTCTCCAAACCCGAGTCATGCATCTGTTTGAGATTCTGCATATTTGAGTGGAGCCGAGGCCTGTGAGAGATGGAACCACCTTAGAAAGAGGCCACCCCCATCCACGGGCAGGCCCAGGGGTTTAGTGAGGGTGAATCTAGTGCAATATGAGCTGATATCTCATCAATACAATAGCTAACAAAAACCAGGAGAGGTTGTAGTTAATGTGCAACAACTGGAAGTCTTTGGGCGCCAAGCGTCTACAAGATGCTAAGGAGAAACGCAAAGGCGCCACGTCTCCCGTTCCCCGTTTATCTTCTGGTCTCCTCAGCTGGACTGCAAGCTCCTCCAGGTGAGGGACCTCTTCTGGGTTCTCCTATCCTGCTGTGCCCACATCTGTGCCAGGTGCTTCATACCGCTGGCCCAGCCAAGGGAGCAGATATCTCCTCGAAAGCCTTGAATGACTAGGCATTTGTTGTAAATTAGATTAAATCTCTTTTGTGTTCTCCCCTACCCTCCCGCTTACCTACATGGCACTGTGTCAGGGGAGGGCTGTAACCCTGGCAACTCCAACAAGAACCAGAAGCTATAACGTAATACCCCAAATGTCCAGGGACCGGGAAAACCAAGAACCAGGAAAGCCCCAACTGGAACGAGAAAACACAATCAGTGGTGTCAACGCCAGAATGACACACGTGTTGGGATTCTCTGACAAGGGTTTTAAAGTGGACATCGTAAAAAAGTTTCAATGAGAAATTACAGAAACTTAAAGCAAAAATCTCAGGAAAGAGACAGGACGATGTGAATACGGTTTGAGTGGGAGGGGCAATTTCCTGGCTGTCTGGGCAAGATAGCTTCCTCCCAAGGTCTGCACTGCCCCCTTCTTGGTTGGCCCTCAGGGAGGCTGTGGGGACACCCCATGTGGGGGCCAGCCTTGTGCTCCCAAGGGGTCACCCAGGGTGACTGGAGAGACTGCTTACTGGACATCCAGGGTCCCGTCTGATCACTCAAACGTGGGTTACACGCCCCAAACTTCTCATTTACTCTTTTATTGGGTTATGATATTCTCACAGTCAGTTGATTTTTTTTTTTTTTTTGTCTACAGTCTTTGTAGATTGGCTAACTATGGAATTACCTAAGCTGAGCTCAGCTGGAATGAGCCTTAGCTGATCTCTGGGGGACATCTGTACTAGAGTCAACAATAAACAATGTTTAAAAAGGGAAAAGAAAGAAAGAAAAAAGAAAGGTTGAGCACACCTCCTTTTATTTCATAACAGTGTCCACCCCTCCAGTGAAGGTTCAGACACACAAGTGGGCCTCAATGGAAAACAAAACACAGATTATAAGCATTACGCCTGCTGTTGAACAGTTTCGAAAGACCTCAATTTTAAAATATTCAATTAAAAAAGGAATCAGATAGATACTCAGGTGATACCCAGACAATTAAAAATGAAGATAAGAAGGCTTGATTTGGTTTGGTAAAAATCAAACCTCAATTCCCCAGTTACAGTGGGACAATGTTCCTCCCAGTTCGGCCTCCTTACTTGTAAGAGAAATGGGCCGAGGGATAAAGGTTACTAAGGGCTAACACGTTACGTGGGGTTTGATGGAACCGGGTGTGGAGCGCTGTGGCCTGGGGTCCGACCCGCCTGAGCCGGGGTGAGTGCTCATTGTCCTGGTTTCCGTCCTGTCCCTGTGGTTCTGGGGAAGCGTGCGATGCCTGTCTCTCCCTGGCACATTTATATTCAGTATACGTTATAGGAAGGAGGTGCGTCTGCAAGGAGTGTGGTTCTCTCCTTTCCACAGGGCAACCACCAGGCTGCTGAGACCTGCACTTCACAGGTTATTTGGCTAAAACTGGAGACATTGGGCACGCTCCAAGGAATCATGGGAGGCATGGGAGCAAAGAACCTTGAAACGTGAGATGTTTAGGACAGTTGAACCTTCCTGCTTGGGCTCATTAGAGCGGTCTGGATCTGGCAGATCATGGTTACAAGGCCTCCTAGCAAAGCCCGAGAGTGTTTTTAATGTAAAAAATTCATGTCTCTGAGAACATCTCCTGTCTCCTCTCTGCTGCCTCACCCACCTCATCTGTGTGGACAGAAGCAGGGGCCACCTGTCATTTCCCTGGTTGCGTGTCTGCATTATTCATCCCCTGAGCATCATTGCAGGGTTATTTGGTTACAGGAAGGAGTCATGTTTTGTTCTCTGCACTCCACTAACCCTTGAGAGCCGAGAGTCTGGCTGTGTACACACGTTCCTGTGATGATTTTCACCTGCTCAGGGACCACGTGGCCTGTGGTTCTGGAACAAACCGGAGGAACCAAACGATGCCTACGGCTGCCAAAGGTGGCTTCGTGGTTCTTTGAATTCCTCTCTTTTTAGTTGGTAGAACCCATGTTCTTGTTGTGAGAGCCTGTTGGCCCCACCTGCTCAAATACACTGGTTTTCCCGTCAGCCAGACTGAAGTCACGGGGCTTCTAACGAGTCCTCCAGCCCGTGGGGCCCGGAAGGTGAGGTTGCAGGTAGGAGAGAGATGATGTGCCCAGCATGTACCTGGACAGGTGTTAAGTGTTCTTTGGGGACCAAGTTTCTTTTGTCTTCCTTCAATGTATTGTTATTGAGTGCCTGACAGGAGCTGGGCACGGTGTTAAGCAGGGACAACAGGGCAGAAGTCTCCATCCCTGGTGAACTTATTTTCATAATTGAACTAAATAAGTACTGTGGCCATCCTTGCCCACCACCCCTCACACCAGCTTTTATCAAAAGGAGGCAAAGCTTTTGGCTCTTACAGTCCGCAGGAAAGCCCTTCCCTGGCTCTGTCTGTCAGCCGTCCTGGCCAGTTTCTGCCTCTGCAGTGGCCGGAGCAACCAGAGAGGGTCTGTGTGCGTCCCTTCCTGGGGGGGCCTGGTCCTGTATTTTTAAATGACTCTGATCATAATTTGAGATACTAAAATCTAAATTCTCTTCTACTTCTTCCCCTTCAAGCTGGAGCCTGTGACATTCATGCCTTCAGGGAGGGAGGCCTGTGGCGGGGTGGACAGGCAGAAGTCCCTGCAAGTCTTTCCCATTTTCAGCTTCTTGAGAGCATAACCCAGATCACTGAGAGGTAGTGACAGAAGGAAGAGGGGAGAGTTCGGACAGCGCCCAGAGCGTGAGCCTGGCCCTGCCTCCCAGGCCAGCCCTTCTGTAGTAGGACTGGGCGGCAGGCACACGATGCCCAGACCCCGCCCTCTCACCTGGCAGGGAGGACAGAGGCATGCCGGCCGAAGCTGCTGGGCCCAGTGGCAGACCGGGTCAATTGGTGGGAACTAATGGCCAGATGTACCTCCTTCTCCACCTCATCCCCCATCTGCCACTGGGACATAACACGGTCTAGACTGGAACTTGGGGCCAACTGGTGTGTGTGTGTGTGTGTGTGTGTGTGTGTGCGCGCGCGCGCTGATGTGATTACGTGGGGCCCACAAAGACAAGGGGCAAACCCAGGACCGGGGAAGATTAGTCTCTGTTCCTGAAGTTTGGGGTGGAGCTAGCCTCTCCAGTCAGCTCTTTCATGCTGGATGGGTCTCCAGGGACAGTAGGGTCACTCTGGCCCTCTGCTGGGGAAAGTCTGCCACCAGGTGTGAGCAGGATGCAAGGAGACCTAAGGCTCAGAATCCTGGCGATTTCCACCTCTCTGGAGCTTTGCCCCACCCAGCCCCGCCCCCCAGGCCTGAAACAAACACAACCTCTCCCTGAAACCACTTCTCTCCCTTAGCATCCTCTCTGTCCTGAAAACAGAGGTTCCCAGTCCTGGCTACTCACGGACCCGCTCGGAAGCCTCAGATGTTCTCCCACCTCCAGAGGCTCTGATTGAAGTGTCCTAGGCTCCCAGAGGGCTCCAGAGGGAGGCAAGAAAGAGGATCTCTGTGCTGGTCATCAGAAAGGCCTGGATCTCTGCGCGTGCAGAGCCGGGCCCATGGGGATGCTGGTAGTTCTCTTGTAAGGTAATTCCACCCACAGATATTATCACCGGCTGCTTTGTAGTATAATAATATGTTATATTCCCCCCATTTCTCACTTTTAACTGTAAATTTCTTTTCTTTTTGGTTAATCCTCACCCAAGAATATTTCCCCATTATTTTAGATAGAGTAGAAGGGAGGGAGGGAGGGAGAAAGAGAGGGGAAGGGGGGGAAGAAAGAGTGAAAGAAAAAGAGAAACATCCATGTGAGAGAGGCGCACTGATTGGTTATCTCCTGCACGACCCAGACCAAGGCCAGGGATCGAAGCTGCAACCCAGGTACCTGATCTTGACTGGGAATCGAACCCATGACATTTTGGTCCACGGGCTGATGTTCTAACCGCTAAGCCAAACTGTCCAGGGCATTAACTGTAAATTTCTTAAGGGGCATGTCTGATAATTCATCTTTGCAACTCTTTTAGTATCTTGCACATAGAGGAAATGCAGTATTTGTTGATTGCATAAATAACAGATTTAATTAAACATCCATAGTCAGGTAAATAAATACAGGCTTTTCCATTTGAGAGATGGAATTGTGCTTTGAAATTGTACTGACCTGTTTTATATCCTGTTTCTGCCATAGACCAGCTACTTGACTTTGGAAAAATTATTTAAATTCTTTGTGCCCCAGTTTCTTCATCTGTGAAATGGGTATAATATTGTATGGATTAAATAAAGCATCATGTGAACAGTAGCGATCACAGTGCGAGGCATATAGTAGGTGCTCAAGAATAGTCACAGAGTAATCCTGCCCTCATTCCTGCTGGACCAGCACCTCTGGGTGAGGGTCTCTGAGGAGACTCTGTTGTTTTGGGGGCCGTTGGGACTGTGTTCATGTAAGGGAAGTCAAGGTGGGACACCCTAGGATATTGAAACATTTATTCTAAGCAGGAGGAATGTGGCATTAGGAAGGACAGCATGCATTTATAACTGTTTTAATAAGTTATCTTCTTAATGTCAATAATAATTTGTTCAGTCCCTCTGATTATCCTCAGACTGGTATAAGACAGATTTCCTCATCTTCTCATAATTGCCTCTGTAAGAGCTAAATTCAATTACATTTTAAAAATAACCTGATACCAGACTCTTCTCCTTGCGGAATTCAGTTTGCTACAGGCAGTATGGCATACTGGTTGTCAATCGGCATAATTGGCACCAACGCACTTCACACACTTGGGGCAGGGAGCGGTTCTAAGGAACAAATCCCAACCAATGTCCTTCTCTACAACTAAACATGAAGGCTTTGCGGGAATTCTGGATCTGCTCTTGGTCACACCAATTAACCTCCTGGACCCTCAGTTTCCTCCTCTGTGAAAGGGGAACGATACTGAGACTGCTGGAGGATGAGGCCATGTAGGCCAGGTGGGGCCGCTCGACGCCTGGGGCGGACGTGCACCGACCACGGCCCTTTAGAGCTGTGCTCCCAGGTTCTTTGCTCGTGGAGCCCAGAAAGCTTTGTCAAAATCTTGCTCCTTCCAAGTTTGCATCTAAAATTTTCTGTAACAAATCCATTAGTTGGAGAAGGATATCATTTCTGGCAACACTCACACATATTTAAAAAATATATTCTCAAAAAACTTTGGAACTGCAGGTCAAGTCCATTCAGCTTCTGGAACACGCTGTTGCCCAGCCAGCCTGCCTGGGTCCGGGCCCGGCTCTCCCACTTAATAGCTGGGTGGCCGTGGGCTATTGACCTTAACTCAGTTTCTTCAGCTTGAAGAGTTATGAATTATTATTCACTTCAGACAGGTGGGGTTCTCTATGACAACCACTCACTTCTGCATTTACCTCTACTGGCCCCAGGGGTGGGCACCAAGACCAGAAGTCCAGAAGTGGACTCCACCCTGGGTCTGTCTCCTGCTCCAGGTGTCGCAGCTGGACAACTTGGAGGCTGGAGGGCTGGGGAGGGGGAAGAGGCAGGAGAAGGGGCCTTGGGGGAGTCCAGGGGAAGGAGGTGGAAGCATGGGGTGGTGGGAAGGGGAAGGATGGGGCAGAGGAGGAGGGGAGAGAGGAGGGGGCCTGGAAAGAAAGGGGCCTGAGAAGGGGGCGGGGGGGAGGAAAGGAAGGGAGAGCAGGTGGGAAGGAGGCAGACAGACGCGGAGAGAAGGGGCGGCGCTCAGGGGCGGCAGATCCTTCGGCCACCACGCACCTCCACTGTCGCTGTCGCTGTCGCACCGAAAGAGCGGACCTGGAGCGCGGTCGCCGGGCGCAGCCCCGCCGAGAAGCAGCCCCGGGATGCAGCCGCCCGCGCTGCCGGTGCCGGGGCCCCTGGCCCTGCTGGACACGACAGGTGAGCGCGGCCCGCATCCTCGCCGGCGCCCGCGGGTCCAGCTCGCCTGGAGCGCAGGGCCCGTCCTGCCCGCCTCCCTGGAGCGCTATCCGTGGGGCCCCGCACGGGCGCAGGCCCTTCGCTCCTTTTCTCTCCCCCCTTTCTTTCCCCCTTTTTCTGTATGTCTCTCCCTGTCTCTTTTCTATTTCCGTTAAGAACAAGGGACCACGATGTGTATGAATGAACAACCCAACCTGCCCTCCTTTTCCTCTCTACCCCGTTCCAGTGTCCGAACATTTCTGGCCGTTCCTTTCAGGGTGCCCCTGAGCGTCTTCTTGCTTGAAAGCGGCGAAGGCGCTGCCAGCCTGTCCGGCTGCTCCATTCCTGCCCCCCCCAGACTTCTCCCACGAATTCTCGGAATCCCCAATTCTTCCATTTCCGGAACCCGAGCAGCCTGGACCCGGCGCAGGCAGCGGGAAACAGGAAACCTGTTGCATGTTCACAAGTTGGGGAGCTGCCCTGGGTCCTCTCCGGGGAGGACCGGGCGGGAATGATGCTGGGTGTGTTTTCCCTAGGGGAGAAAATAGTTCCATGGTAAGGGATGCTCCGACAGCTGGATCAGGGGAGGTCTCCTGGGCCCTGCCCCTTGCCTCAGAAATGATCCGATTGAAAACTACAAATTTTTAACTCCGGAAACACTCTTTTTAAAAAAAGTGATTAGTAATGTTGTTTGATTTTTATTTAATTTTTAATTGTTTTTCCTTTATTTCTTTTTGGTGCAATTTTTATTAATTTATTTTTGTTACAGATGTTTCTCCTTTTCCCCCATTGACACCCTCCTCCCGATCCTGCCCCCTCTCCCCCATTGTTTGATTTTAAAATAATAATCAAGACTTCAGCTTTTACCTCAAAGAAACAATTCTTTTCCCCCACTCTCTAAAGCAAAATGCTCTAGGCTAGACATATTTACATGCATTTTCATCCTCCAGAAACAACTTACTTAATAATGCTGAATAAGAATAACTTTCTGTTATTAACTAGTTATTACTGTTTTATTATACTAGAATGATTGGATGGTTTAAAAATAGCATTTGACTTCGTTCTTTTCTTCTAACGAGGAATTATAAATTTAAAAAAACACTAGGAGTTGGTCTTTTATGTAAAAACACTAAACATTAGTGTAGCTGGGTGGAATTATGGGCATTTTCTATCTTAACCATTTCTGTGTTTACCACCTCGGGCACCTGTTACATGAAAATCAGGACAAAGGGAACTTGATGGCTGAGGATACATCATTCTGCCTTGGTCTCCTTTCCCAGGGACTGCCACTTTACCTCAGGACTGGGTGTCCTCACATGATTAAAAGAACTCATTCTTCTTTCTGGGAGGGGGGCCCTGCTAGCAGGGAGGTCATGACTTTGAATCCCCCCTTTTGTGAGGTCCCCCTTCCCTTCCTGGCTTTAGTAAGGGGAGAAAGTGCTGAGCGACAGAGACAGAGTCTGCCACCCCACCCCAGTCCCATCCCTGCATTTCGTCCAGACAAGACCAGGTTGTCACAGGAGCTGTGGTTCAGTAACTCTGGCCAAGGCTGGGAGTAGGGACGGGCAGGGGCAGGGGAACTGGAGGGACTCATGAGGAGTATCAAGGTGATATTCTGAGATATTCTAGAGAGGATACACCAGGGGACACACTGGAGTTTGGAAAAACAGTGAGCAAGGCAGTGAGGTGTACTTGTCGGCCCATCAGCCTCACACGTCAGAACTACTCCCCTCTGCTTCCAGTTGGAGAAACACCAGTTAAGAATAACTGCTATGCTCTCTTAACATTATCGCCACCATGATTAATATACTTATTACGGCCATAATGAATATATTCATTACATTCATAAGAACATATATAGACCTTTCACATATATTCTCTCACTGGATCCTTACAATAGTTTTAAGAGGTGGGTAAAGCAGGCGATTATTATTATCTCAACTTCACAGTTCAGGAAACTGAAGTTCATTCATCCATTCAACACAAAGAAATAAGCCATCTCCTAGTCTGAGCTCACCCCAGGATGCAGTGCAGAACAAGACAGACACAGCCCCTGCTCTCACGGTGTTCTCACTTGTCTGGGCTCAGAGAGCATGGATGGCTGCCTAAGATCACACAGCTGGTCTGAGCACATCTGGAACAGTTTGGATACAGTCCATGCAAGCTGCCACCAGTTATACACCTAGTATTAGACATTTTAGTTAACAGACACCATCCTAAGAGCACATTAATTGTAGCAATGCACATAATGATATTCTTGCTAACTGGATAGGAGAATAATTCAGGTACTTGTATCTTCTTCCAGTTCGAAATCCCCTTTGTCTTCAAAACCTGATCTACAAATGCATGTGCCTTATGGTAATTATGAGAATAGCTTACCTATTTTTACCTTCCTTAAGTTAATTTTTTGTTTCTTATTTTTTTTGCAATATACTATATTTATAAAGAATAAGGTCAGGATTTTTCTTTTTGTTATCTCTGTTGTACCTGGAGTAAAAATAATGACAACAGGCGTCATTAGAATAAGATTGTTCAGAACCATTGCTTCCCAGCGTCCCCTATGAGTTATGTTGGCTATCTTTCCTGACCTTATATTCACCTTGGAACCTATGAGAGAAATGCTGACAAAAACAAATAGCTTATACATTCTGCTTTTTATATGTAGCAGTTTCAGAGGAAAACTCAGACTTAGGAAAAAGTGGTGAAATGATAAAGTTATATTAAAAATGATTCATAGGAATTTTCATGAGCTCAAAGATATGTTTAACTTTTCATCCTGTGATTAGCATGTCAGAATGTCACTAGCAGATTTGACAAGGGCTGACCAAATGCTGCTAGCCTAGTGGGTCTGATCAGATCCGCAGTCCTCATGCCAGCATCCCCAAGGGGATGAATCAGAACGGAGCCACAAGCCTGAAGAACCAGGATATAGTTGGGGGAGTTCTGCAGACAGATCTCAAAGGGAGCTACAAGACGAGGCTCATAGAAGGTTATAACCATGGTTTGAAGCAGATGCTGAGACATCTAGTTGATTATTTGGGGCATAATAGACATGCAACGCACTTAATTAAGAAAAATAGCAAAACAAAATCCTTTCAGCAGGAAGACATTTGTCTGATAATTTTCTCAAATACTTAGTTCCATAAAATTTAGTTTAGGAGTCCTATTGCTCTTAAATCACATTTTAACCATCAAAACATTTCAATGGGAAATTCAGGGAAAAAATAGTCAAGAAAAAATAGCTGAAGAGGAAATTGCACTAATTAAAAGTAATTGGCATTTGGCTCCATTCACAGATATTTGGAGGCTGGGAAGGTAATGTGGAAAATGGAGAGGTTAATCCTCTGATCCTGATTGAATGAGACGTAGAGTTAGATTGCTCAGAGCAAAGCGGAAGTTGCTACCCAGTTACTAGATAGTATTGTTATTATTAATAGGAGTATTTTATGAACTTCCACAAGAACAGTTACATTAATTTCCAAAATGTAGAACAAAATAGATTTTTGACTTTTGTGTCCTTTCTTTCAAAAATAATTAACCTTTCTAAAATTAATTAACCAGAGCACGTCTTTTGTTTTTCTCTCTCACTCACTTGTTTTCCAAGTGGCTTTGCCGTTTCAGTCCTCTGTATCCCCACAGACACCCCACCCACCCACCCACCCCCTCCACCCCCCGGTTGCCATCATTCTCAGAACTGCTGATCTATCTGACTCCAGGCAAAATACCTTGTGCATATAGCCTCGGTGTCAGGCTTTAAACAAATGCAAGGGGAAAAAAAGTCATTGCTGTCTGCATGCACCCTTCTTTGCAAGTAAGATTCTGTAAATCTTAAACAAAGGGAAAGCCCCCTCTAGGGATTGCCCAGAGCCTGTGCAAACGCCGTGTCCCAAAGAGCATGGAGTGTCTGCTTGCTGTGTTTTCCTGTAGAACACTCCTGCAAATGCTTCACCCTCAACAATCCTTCTATATTTGTAATCAACATGACCAGAAAACGACAATGAGAAGAGCAATTGAACAACAGTCAGATAAAGCTGTATTTGTTCTCTTGCTTGTAGGTGAAGAATTCTGTGGAGCTTCAGAGAACTCTTTCCAAAGCTTGTGCAAGGACTGTAGGTTTATTTTCTATTTTGTAGGGTTAAATTTTACTTCAAAACTTTTACTTTCTCCTGCCCGGCCAGTGTGGCTCAGCAGTTGAGCACCGACCCATGCACCAAGAGGTCGCCTGTTTGATTCCTGGTCAGGGCACATGCCCAGATTGTGGACCAAATTCCCAGTGAGGGGCATGTAGGAGGTGGCCAATCTATGTTCTCTCTCATTGATGTTTCTATCTCTCTCTCCCTCTCCCTTCCTCTCTCTGTAAAATCAATAAAAGAAAAAAAAAAAAAAACTTTTACTTTCTCCTTAAAAAGTATTTTGTTAGGAGAAACATCTGTAACAAAAATAAATTAATAAAAATTAAAAATAGTATTCTAAAATTTAAAAAAAAAAAAGAAAAAGTATTTTGCTTTCTTGTCCTGAAATTCCTCTTTTAGAAATTATCCTAAAAGAGTGATGAGAAGTGACAGAAAGATTTATATACAAACATGTTTATCATATTGTTTATTTAAAAAATACACTTTTTGGGGTGCAGTTTCAGGTTCACAGCAAAAGTGAGGTGAAGATACAGAGAATTCCTATGTATGTCCTGTTGCCCCACCTGCACAGCCTCCCCCATGATCAACATCCCCACGAAAGTGGGCGTTTGTTACCAGCAGCGAACCAACGTCGACACATCATTATCACCACAATCCATAGTGTACAGTAGGTTCACTCTTGGTGTTGCCCATTCTATAGGTTTGGACAATGTATAATGACATGTATCTACCACTTCAGTACCATACAGAACAGTTTCACTGATCTAAAAAATCCTGTGCTCCATCTGTTCATCCCTCCGTATTGTGTTGTTTTTTAAAAAAACATTTTTTCTTTATTGATTTTTAGAGAGAGAGGGAGAGAGAAATAGAAACATCAATGAGACAGAACATCGATTGGCCGCCTCCTGCATGCCCTCCACTGGGGATCGGGGCCACAACCTGGGCATGTGCCCTGAACAGGAAATGAACCAGCCACCTCTTGGTGCATGGGTCGACGCTCAACCACTGAGCCACACTGCCGGGCCTCTTTACTGTGTTTTAATAATAAAAAATGAGATACAACCCAAATATACAAGAGTAGGGATAGGTTAACTGACACATCTGTTTAGTGGAATACACAATTATAAATAAGAATTATGTTTCTAAAAGTATTTTCAAAGTATTTCAAAAGTTGGACAAATTCTTACAGTTTATTAGATGAACAGATTTGGGTCCCAATTTAAGAAAGACTATAAGGCTATATGCCTACTTGCCAATTTTGGATGATGAGGTTATTGTGAATTTTATTTTTTTGTATTTTTCTATACTTTATAACTGTTCTACAATAAATAACTATTGCTTTTATGAACAGAATAAAAGCCATACATTTTTCATATAAAACTTACAGTCTCTTGCCCTGTCCGATTTGGCTCAGCGGTTGGAGTGTCGGCCTGCAGACCAGAGAGTCCCGGGATCGGTTCCCACTAGGGGCACGTACCAAAACAAAACAAAACAAACACACAAAAAAGCTTACAGTCTTTCTTTCTCTTGTAAAAGTGTCATTGTCACCTTGGTTATATTTTCCGGCCTGAATTAGGGTTGGTTTTTAGCTCACAAACATAATGAGAAGTGTAGGAAGGAGAGAGTCCTGAGGTCACTGAAAAAGTTAGATGTGAGAAAGGAAAAAGGAAGTGTCAAACTGAGAAAGGCAGGTGAGGAGAAAAAGCCAAGAATGCTGGAGCCGCAGGGGCCTTCGGATTGCCTATTCCGAGCTGGCAAATGTGCCCCAGCGCCTTCCTCCCAGGAGCAGGGCAGACGTAACTAATCAACCAACCGAGGCACAGCTCAGATACTCCGACATACCGTCTGGGGTTGGAACTTTCTCGCCATCTACAAAACTGCAGTGGGCACAGGAAGTGACTTGCTCCCACTCACACAGCAAGCAGGGCCTGTCCTCTCGATGAGAGTACAACAGTGGCCTGGGCATCAGGCCACATGGGTTAGTGTTCGGCCAGTGCCCTCAGGACAGAGCACCTTGGGAGGGATGGTGAGCCTCGGGGTGGCTGGTGTGACTGGACATAAAGTAGGGAAAGTCACTCAAGAATATGTGCTGAATCTAGAAACACTGGGAGATGTTGCAGAACCTGTCTGAGTGATGGGGCTGGTGGCGTGGTCATGGGTAGTCAGCATCATCTTGGTGCTATCTACTCATCGTCCACTCACGGATCCACTCGTGAGCCTACTCACAACCACTGTGTGTTCACGGTTGGGTCAGTTCATTGCTCATCCCTCAGTGCTCATTCAGTAAAAACTGCAGAAGCCACTGTGGTGGGCCTGGGAGCCCACTGCCAGAGCGCGTCCAAGAGGCTTAAATGAAAGATGTGGCTTGTGGCTGGCCCCTGGGGGCTGCAATCATGACAACTTTGTTTTGAAGTGAGGGTTGTGACAGGGCTTAGAAGATTTGCTTTACCCAGTGCTCTCAAGGGGTGCTCAGCACCATTGTCAGTGGGCTCTGCCCTTTACTGCGTGGCTGAGCTGCCCAGCTAGTCTGTCCTCATAGGTGTGAGCTTTCAGAGAGGTTTTATACAGTCCATCCTTGTTCCTCCATAGCTGACTCTCAACATAGCAACCACAGTGCTACAGAATCAGAAAAAAAGGAAACCAGAGTACCCCCTTCCCTCCTCTGCTCAAAGCTCTGCAACAGCCCGCTCTCTCGGGGTACAGTGGGGGACAGGTATGAGAGTTCATCCCTGTGGATGCAGAGACAAACCTGCATTTTTAGGGAGCCAGAGAAAGAAAGGAGTGCATAACAGAAGGAATTCTGGAGCTCAATGGCTGAGATTTAAATCCTAAACATCGACATCTGAGTCTGGAGAGGCTGGGCCAGGGTTTGCAGAGTAGAGCCTGCAGGTAGCATTAGGGACAGAGCCATCTGTGCAGGAGGAAGCCCCTCCTGACTTCACCCTGCCATGCAGAGGTCCTGGGAGCTACAGGCAGCACCTGCGCCCAGACTTGCAGCTGGTGGGGAGCTGGTGGTTTATTATCTTAGTGAATGCATTGATCTCGTCCCCTCCAGGGTGAGGGTAATAGGTGGTTTAGGATGAGATTCTTGGGAGAAGTGTCTTCAAGGGTCTGGAGGGAGTGGGCCGTGCCGAAGGCTGTGTTGAGTCTGAGAGGGGTGCTGGTGATTGGAGAGTGGGGGTCTTGCATGGGGTTCCCTTCTGCCCCTGGAATGAAGTGTCCTTCTTGAGACATACTCCCTTGCTAAGTCAATGTGCTTAGTTGAGCCATATTTTTCTGAGTTTGCACATCAATTTATAATTTTGTGCAATCTATTTCGAAGTATGTAACAATCCTGTTTTTGGGTGTTGCAACCTTGACTTGACAGTAAGCTCCGCTGATTGGACTGCAGAAGTATACATCTTCGGGGGCAGGCCTTCTGGAGCCTGACAATGTCTGCATGCTTGTGAGTCAGGTGCTCATCTGAGCTAGCATGAAATCAGATATGAAGCTGTTTCCCCCACTACACACACACACACACACACACACACAGCTCATTTAGACGACGTTGGCACTAGAGAAAACATCATGTTTTTCTTTCTCCCCCTATTTAGTTTTGGAGTCATAGGGATGGAGCTGGTCAAGCTTCAGGGCCCTGAGGTGGGCACTGCCGGAGGAGAGAGCAGTGGGCACGCGTCCCTGGCTCTGGGACAGAGAGGCCGTCGGAGCTGCGGGCTCGGGGAGAAGAGCCACAGGGACACCAACTGCACCACCTCTGCTAGGACCCCCTCATAGCCCCACCCCTTACTCACCGCTTCCTCCTTGTTTGTCCTCCTCCCAGAAGGGTTTACGAGAAGAAAGAAGACTTCCCTTTGGTTTGTGGGGTCTCTGCTGGTGGTGTCTGTCTTCATCCTGACCATTGGCCTCGCGGCCACCACCAGGACGGAGAATGTGACTGTTGGGGGCTACTACCCAGGGATCATCGTGAGTGATGGGGTCCTGGGGTCTGAGGGAGGGGCTCTGGGCACCACAGATTTCTGTGTGGTGTTGACACACTTTGCTTCAGCTCCAAGAGCTGGAGGTTCAGGACTGGGAACTCGTGTTGGCGGTGATGGTCGGCAGAATAATGACCCCACAGGCATCTGTGTCCTACTCTCTGGGATCTGAGAATGTGGTGGGTTATGCAGCAATGGTGGGGGGGCAAGGGTGAAAAATGACCCTGCACCATCCAGATGCCCAGGGTTAGCACAGGGCCCCGAGAAGGGGAGGAGGGTGCAGGAGAGGCGTCAGAGCCATGAGATAGATGTTGATGAGGGACGAAGGGCCACAAGCCAGAGTGTGACAGCGCTGGACACGGGACAGGCCTGGCCCAGATTCCCCCCGAGAGCCTCCAAAGAGAACCAGCCCTGTGATACCTGGATTTTAGCCCCGTGAGACCAAGCTGCCCCAACCAGCTCTCAGAAAATGGACATGTAGCTTTAAAAGACACCTGCCTAGAAACCTTGATTGGCGATGACATTAATAATTATGTAGGAACAACAGGAAAATGACAATTAATCAGATCTGGCAAGAAGCAGTCACCTAAATTCAGAATTATTAGGAAGATTTTTTTGAACTATGAAATTCACATTCATTGTTTTTGGCAATAAGATTTGCTCCAACTGTCTGAATTGTGCACAGAAAGTGTGACATAGAAAGTGTCTGACATAGCCATTTATCAGCTCTGATGCCCTTAAAATGCACCAGAACCCTGCCTGTCCAGTGTGGCTCAGTGGATTGAGCGTTGTCCCATGGACTGAGAGGTCCTGGTTCGATTCCTGGTCAGGGCACAAGCCCGGGTTGCGGGCTCGATTCCCAGTAGGGGGTGTGCTGGAGGCAGCCAATGGATGTTTCTCTCTCACATAGAAGTTTCTATCTCTCCCTTCCCCTCTCTCTCTTAAAAAAAAAATCAATAAAAACATATTTTTAAAAATGCACCAGAACCTTGTGGTGCTGTGTCATTAGGTGTTAAATCAAGATATTTTTAAAAATTAAGCTCATTAAATAGTATTATCAAGATTAGTAATAATATCAATAAAATTTTCAGCAAGGCTGAAAAGGTTTTGGCACTCTCAATATTAAAAAATATTTTACAAATATGATTTATTTCATCTTTATATTATCCTTTATTTTTATTTTTTGAGTATGCTTTATAAATTACATTACCTGTATATAATTTATGAGTAAACATACACACATAGTGTCCGTGCAAAAGTTTTGTCAGTGAAATCTCATGAAGCTGATGTCACGTTGGAGACCTCACTTCGCCCAGGACAAAAAAAGGAGCCCAGAACTCAGGGGGCTCCTGGCTGTGAGGATGCATCCTTTCAAATTACTTGCAAAGTTTCAAGACCAGTCTTGAGTAGTAGTGTTTTTGCTTGTTCTTTAAGCTTCACTTAGGCGGGATTTCCCATCTCCACGAACATCCTGGAGCTCTGGGCAGTGACCAGAACGAAATTAGCCTCAACCTGGGCAGTTTTGAGTGGAGATGACAGATGAATTCACCTGAAGAAAATGTGGAGGAAAGTCACTTCTGTGGAGATCCTCTGTCCGACGCAGAGACTTACCGCAAAGGGTGGATCTCAGGAAGAGACGGGACTGGGTGGTGAAAACACCTCAACATTTCGGAAAGAAGATTTTTTTTAATCCCCCAAAATGGAACTTATTGAAACTTAATGGATATATGTCAATATATATATGCTGGAGTGGAACTTCGATTTTTTTCAACTGTGGAGTTAGACTGTGACAATTTAAAGTTCCACATGAGGAAAACATTCATCTCTCCTTACTCCTTGAAAATTCTTAAATTGTTGGTAAAAATGACATCTGTTGCATACATGTCCATCTCCATAGATATAATTACAGACAAAGGTATCTGTAGACATAAATAGGTCCGATTTTTAGTGCATTAAATTTGACAGCATGGCCTTAGAGACTCCACACCTGTGCTGGTCAGCAGGTTAGCTGTCCCCAGACTGGCCCAAAGGTCACTCAGAAGTCTGATGTGCAGGGCTCACCTGCTGCAGGACGCGGCTCTGGCGCAGGGTCTGGAGCAGCAGCCCACGCTGTTTGTGAGAGGCTTGTCGCCAGCTGCTCTGAGCTGCTGACAAGCTTTTTAAGCGTAAGGGAAACTGAGAAATTCTTCCACTAGTGGGCATGGAGGATGAGGTGCACCTGTGTCTCCTGGACACACTCAGGTGGAGGGATCCCGGCGCCCAGCCCTCGAATCCTTCATGTGCAGATGAGAACAGCCACGTGTGTGTCTCTCCAACAACCCAACATCACTTCCTCCCGGGGGTCCGAGAGCGCAGGCGTTCTCGAGGAACAAGAGAGCTGATTCTCAGGAGCACCTAGGAGCCCTCCCTTCTCCCTCCCTTCTCCTTCCTCAAGGTACCTGTCTGCCTGCTCACCTGAGTCAAAAGCTCATCTCTGAGCGGTGTCAGCTGTGTCCATGGGTGACGGGTAATTCTTCTGAAATACCATGGTTCTAGTCTCCTAATATCTGACCTCAGGAGTCCTTCAGACAGGCCCAGGAGAAACCTCAGGTGGGCCTCTCACCTGACGACCAGGGGCGGAAGATGAGGTGTGGGTGGTCTGGGCTACCATAAAGAGCTTGTCCTCCGTAAGGGGAAAAGGGGGCACACATGCTCTTTTCCTATAATCTTTTCCTGACCTGAGACTTAAAATGTTTGAACATAAAGATGAGATGGATCATGTTTCAGCAGTTTCTATTCCAATCACCGGCTTCCACTGAGCCTGAGGAACCCACCCGCATGTACACGAACCCATCTGCCACTTAGTGGTTGAAACGTGGAGAGGTGGGAGCGGCCAGCCTTGGCCCTCTGATAAAATGTTTTAGAGGGTGGCAGTCCTCTGTGCATTATTTACTGTTAAAAGTCAGCATCAAATATAGAGTGCTCATACAACTCAACAAAGGGAAGACAAGGAACCCAGTTATAAAATGGACAGAGGACCTATATAGACACCTTGCCAAAAAGGACATACAAATGGCCGAGAGACATATGAAAAAATGCTCAATGTCGCTAATCATCAGAGAGATGCAAATTAAAACAACAATGAGGTATCACCTCACACCTGTCAGAATGGCTGCCATCAACAAATCATCAAACAAGAAGTGTTGGCGAGGGTGTGGAGAAAAGGGGACTCTAATACACTGCTGGTGGGAATGCAGACTGGTGCAGCCACTATGGAAAACAGTATGGTGTTTCTTCAAAACAATTAAAAATTGAATTGCCATTTGACCCAGTGATCCCTCTTCTAGGAATATATCCCAAGAAGCCTGAAACACCAATCAGAAAGAATATCTGCACCCCTATGTTGATAGCAGCACTATTTACATTTGCTAAGATCTGGAAACAGCCCAAGTGTCCATCAATAGATGAGAGGATAAAAAAGCTGTGGTACATATACACAATGTAATACTATGCAGCTATAAGAAAGAGAGATCTCTTATCCTTTGAGACGACATGGAGGGATCTGGACAGCATTATGCAAAGCGAAATAAGCCAATCAGAGAAAGACAAATATCACATGATCTCACTTATTTGTGGAATGTAATGAACAAAATAAGCTGATGAACAAAATAGACCCAGAGACATAGAAAGGAGTACAGTTCAGACTGACAAACCTCAGAGGAGGGGGTAGGAGGGATATATAAGATAAACCAAAGAATTTATATGCATGTTTACATAACCAATGAACATAGAAAACAATACTGGGGGTGGGGGGTGGGCGGGATCGAGAGGAGGGTGTCTAGGGGGAAGAAAGAGAAACATTTGTAACAAAAATAAATTAATAAAAATTGCAAATAAATAAATAAATATCAATTCCACCATGTTAAAAAAAAAAGTCAGCATCAAGCACCAGGCATGCTAATCAGGTGCTTTCTCCTTGTTTTTCCTTTGCTCTCAGCTGGGCTTCGGATCTTTCTTAGGAATTATTGGCATCAACCTGGTGGAGAATCGAAGGCAAATGGTAAGAAAATCCATTGTTACTTTCAAACGGCAATATTTCATCTTTTTTTAAATGGCTGAGTAGTATGGAATTGTTTTCTGAACTTCCTGTTTTGGGTTGTTTATTGCAAGTATATAGTCTATTTAGTCTTGTAGCTTGCAGCCTTGTTGAACTCATTTATTAGGTCTCATAGCTATTTACTTTTTAGTGCATTCCTTAGGATTTTCCATCTATAAGACTAGGTCACCTGCAAATAGAGATAGTTTTACTTCTTTTTTTCCATTCTGGATGCTGGAAGTCCATTTCTATGGTCTTAGTAAAAAAAAATGTGGGCCTTGGAATGAAAGGATGAAAATCCGGAATTATCAGCAGCTGCGAAAGCAATGTGGGGTCCAGCTCCCCAGTTAGCTTCCCTGTGCACGGGCCCAGTTCGGGCCACAGGTCCCTGACAGCACAGCCTTCTGACTGGCCTTGTTTGCGATGCCTGAACAATCTCATTTCTGCCTTTCCAGGGAACGCGTTCTTCCAAGGCTGACTTTGTGTGATAAACATATATTTCACTATCTAACATTTAATTTAAGGCTTATGAAAGCCGAAACCTGTGTCCATCATCAGTAGTGGTGTGAGCTCAGGATGCTTACTCGACAGATTTGAACCTCAGTTTCTTCATTTTCAGGGTTGCTGGGAGCATCTGCATTGATGCATGTGAGGTTGTCTCTGGACACACACTGGCCCATACGGGTGTTCAGAAAGTAGGAGCCCTTGTGAAACCCTGTACTGAAGCCATAGGTTAGTCCGAACACTCAGGTCGTTTCAAAAAAAAGACAGTGACAGGCTGAGAAAATGTCAGCTGAAGAGATAATGCTTGTATTTCTTATGCTTCTAAGTATAGAGAATGCTTTCTTTTTTCTTGATTTCTTTTCATTTTCATTTTTACTACAGAACTGTTTAAACATATTCCAAAGTAGGCAGACTGGTATAATGACCCTCTGTGCTCATCTCCCAACTTCATCGACTCTTGACTCTGGGCCAGTCGTGTTTCATCTCCCACCCATTGCTTCCCTTCTCATATTATTTTGAAACTAATCCCAGACATGGTATCATTTCGTCTATAATGATATCATTACGTGGTATCACTTTACTCTGTTCAATCTAATCATTAGAAGTGGCTTCACCATTATCTCTGCCCATGATTATGTTAGCCTCCAGTGATATCTAAAGAATGCTCCAAATTGAGTCAGCGTTTGGCATTTTTCCATTGATGAATAAGTTATTACTTTCTAGTCACCGAAACAGACACACAAAGCATTGATTTCACTAATAGCCCTATGGCCTAGCCTGGTTCCAGAGGCCAGAGATGGAGGAGTTAATGCCCTAAGAAGTTCGTTAGCGGCATTTCTCCTCAGCACCACGATCACCAGAGATGCATGAGTGCACACATGCGCACACATGGCGATCTTCCCAGACTATAGTTTAAAAGTTACTGAATTAGAAGAACCAGTAAGGACTAATAAGTAATGTATAGGTAAAAACATTTGCTGCAAAGCTTGAGGGCATCAGCCTTTGTCTGTCTGGTCTAGAGATACCATTTTTTTCCTATTCCTCTGAGTGCTGTGTGAGAGACGGCGCTTGGTTGTCTTCCTCTCTACTCCCCTGCCTAACATCTTCAGCTTTTGGCATGTAGGGGACAGGATGAAGGACAAGAGACCCCGAGGGATACCTTCCCCTGAAGATGCTACCACCTACACCTTCCAGAAGTTTGGTTAACTTCGGGAGAAGGGTGGAGAGTTGGGGTGAGGAGGGTGCATGGAGAAGCCACTGGAGTTGCCCACACTTCTGTCATCTGGCCAACTGGGGTGTGTGTGTGACAGAAACTAGGTCTGGATGTAAGAAAACAGGTCAAGTTCCAGTATGTAAGCACCTGAGTGTTGAGGCTTTTGAGAATGTGTACCTGTGCATCGGAGGCTGACTCAGCACTCTGATGGCGTAAGAACTATTCCTGTGGTGGCACCTGCCTTCCCGGAGCCGTGCCGAGGACCACCGGGGAAGGCCCATTGGACGTCTGCCCTGCCACTTGCTGGTGTGTTAGCTGAATGGGCTCTCTGATCTCTGAGGACCAGCCTCCACACCACCCACACAGTCTTGGCATCTGGACCTCGGACCTTCTGTTCCTTCTTGTCTGAAGGATTCAGCCACAGGGGCTGTGGGCCAGTCTTCCCAAGCGTGCAGGGCTGGCTGTGCAACCCAGAACATGCTTCGCTGCCCTAACCTGGAGCTTCCCGCCCCGGGCTGCGAGTGGGTGCTGGGATGAGGTCTCTGGCCAGCTGCTCGCTGGCAGCCTGTGCCTTGGTTGGGCTCCCCTTGACTGCGAGCTCCTCTGAAGGGGTGCTGTCCTGCCGTCCAACTCAGAAGCGGTGTTGGTGGGAGGGTGCGCCTGAGAGAGCACCTCACTCTGCTCTGCTGGTCCTGGGAGCAAACATCTCGAGACACAGTGATTAGATCTAATATGGCCATGTGGGGAGGACTTATGTAGCCCTAGATGCTCTGGATCTCTGTTTTCGCAGTTACGTGCTCACAAAAGCGCTCTGTCTGAAACAAACGCTCGGAATTTTTATTTTTACTGCTGTGTGAGCATGTCATGAGGCCTGCTTGGAAATACTAATCAATTTTCTGGGTGGATCCAAATATCTGCCTGTTTAGAAAGGGCCCTGGGAATTTGCTGATGGAAAGCGACAGGAGTCTGTTTTTGCTGCCACTCCACCGACAATAACATGCCATTCCAGCCTCGCGCCTCAGAAGCTGCAGGTGTGTGCATGCACATCTCTCAAGGGAAAATGAAATCACTGATCCTATTTCAAAGCCATTTTAACCATTTCCCCCAGCAATAACCATCAATAACCATCAATGTTACTTAAAAGGCACTTGTTACTTCTGAAGCATTTCCTGTGCACGGATGGTTGACATGCATTCATTTTTTTTCTTCAACTGACATTTACCAAGCACCGTCCGTGTGCAAGGTGTCATGTTAGGCAAGAGGCAGGGAGATTCTGACCTCACGGAGCTCAGTCTTATGCACAGAGCACCAGAGGGCACCATGGGAGGAGTGAGAGGGAGAGCAGAGAAGAAGCAGTTGAGGCTGAGAAGGACCCAGAAGGATCCAGTCCAAGGATGGGAGGAGAAGTGTAGCTCCTGGTGGATAAAGGCTAAAATGAGACTAGGAGAACCAATGGCCCTGTGGCCCAGTTGGAAGGTCAGTGTGGAGTTAACGCTGTCTGAACTCATCTCTCAAGCCGATGTGCTGTGGGTGTTCTTTCTCCAAATACAGTGGAGAGGCTCCCTCCCCAGTCCCACGAGGATTTCACTGGATTTTACCCATGACCCTGCTGGCATCTTTCTCTATATACCATCTCCTCCTCTTTGGCCTTGACCCTCGTTATTACTTCAGATGTCAACTGAAATCCTCCTTTGCTCATTCCCTATCTCCCTGCACCTGTTTCTCTCTGTGATTATAGGCAGCTGATCATTGCAGAGATGGTATCTCTATGTCCTACAAGAAGAATACTTAGTAGATTTAATAAGAACAGATTCTCATGACAAGTTATCCCAAGGAACATATAGAAGTGTTTGGTCTTCTCTCTGGTAATGAGAATCCTCCATCTTATCTACAAGTCCGGTTCCATCACTGATATGTGTGGTCTGTTCTGAAGACAGGGAGGGTGGGGAGCCAAGAGGGAACCACTGCCAGCTCCCTTTCACCTTAAGCAGAACAGAGCCTTTGCTTTGTTCCCATCAAGATCTCCACCTAGAGGTTCAGGCCACCAACGTCACCTCCTGGGAGGGCCTGGAGAGGTCAGGGGGGCATCCAGGCTGTCCTCTCTCTCTTCTCTGGGTGATGAGGGAAGAAATAAACACTTCACGAGTGTCACTCCTTGCCAAGTTCCTCCAGCTGATCTCTCTCCCTCTTCTCTCTCTCTCTCTCTCTCTCTCTCTCTCTCTCTCTCTCTTTCAGCCTGTCTGGAATGCTTTATCCCCCACCCCTGCCTTCTTCTGCTTAATTAACTCCAGTTCCTCCTTCAAATCTCAGCACAAATGCCATGTCCTCAGGAAAACTCCCCTAACCTCCTGGATTCATACCTTTATAACAACTATCCTTCCTAACACTTACCTGTTTATAACGACCTGCTCCCTGAGATGCGAATCCAGTTTTCTCACCAGCAAATGGGCACCCACACACCTTTGTTTAGTGAATGAACGAACCTTGGAAGACATGAAGACGTGCGCTTGGGGTGGAAGTGGCCGTAGCGCTTTTGGCTGCAAACAAGAAATCCAGCCTTAACGGGCGAGACTGAGGATTTGTATCCCTCCAGGGCCTCCAGAGCGGGTGGTTTTGTGGCCGGCTGACTTGATGGCACAGTGTCCCGAGGCCCCACTTCCTTCTCTCTTTACGCTCTGCCCTCCTCAAGGATGTCGCCCTCCTGATATAGCAGCATCCAGAGGAAGGAGCAGATGGTGCCTTCCTTTGACTCCCCCTTAGGAAGGAGACAGCTTTCTCCGAGTCCATAACAGACTTTCCCTCTTATCTCATTGGCCAGGCCCATGCTGATTTCTGAACCAACCCCTGTCATTGGATTATGGCACCAGTAATAAGCTCACTGACAGATGGGTGGGGTCAGCTCCCCAGAGGGATATGACTAATGGGGAAGTGAGGAACCTGAACAAAATCAATGTTAGTTAGCAGGAAAGAAAGGAGGGGTGGATGCTGGATGGACAGCCAGCAGGATTCCCTTCAGAGATCTCTCTTCTTTGAATTGGAAAGTGCCATTTCAGCCCTGGCCATTTGGCTCACAGTTAGAGCATTGGCCCATGGACCGAACGGTCCCGGGTTTGATTCTCGGTCAAGGACACATACCTGGGTTGCAGGTTTGATCCCTGGCTCCAGTCAGGGTCATGTGGAAGGCAACCAATTGATATGTCTCTCTCACATCAGTGTTTCTCTCTCTCTTTTTCTCCCTCCCTCTCTT